TTTTCGTCAGTTTGTAATAGAACTCCTCTGGTTGCCACTAAAGAAGTGTCTGTGGCAATAGCGAATTGTTTTAACGGGTCTGGGTTGCGGAGTACAGGATGGGTGGTAAAACAGGTTTTCAACTGGTCGAACGTTTTCTGATGTTGAGCGTTCCAAGAGAAAATGGTATCCTTCTTGGTCAGATCGATAAGGGGGCGAGCGATGTCCTAAGTAGTGAGCGACAAATGATCGGTAGAAATTGCAGAATCCTAAAAATGACCGAACTTCTTTAACAGAAGTAGGAACGGGCCATTCTTTGATGCCATTGGTTTTTGCTTTGTCCATTTCTACGGATCCTGGTTTAATGATCATGCCAAGAAATTCGACTTCTTGAGAGTCGAACGTGCACTTTTCTGGTTTCAGAAATAGCTTTTCTGCTCTAATCTTTGTCAAGATCCGCCTTGTTCGTTCGTGATGTTCTTCAAGTGTCTTTGAAAAGATAAGGATGTCGTCCATGTATATTACCAGCCATCCTTCGTTGATTTCCTGACGGAATTCATTATCCATAAATGCTTGAAAGGTGGCAGGTGAGTTGCATAGCCCGAAGAACATTACACTTGGTTCAAATAATCCGTGCTCCGTGGTAAACGCTGCTTTCCATCGATCATCCGGGTGGATACGGATGTTGTTATATCCTGATCTAATATCCATTTTCGTGAAGAAGTTTGCCCCGTGTAGTCGTTCGATAAGAGTTGCCGGAAGTGGAAGGGGATAGGAGTTCTTTATCGTTTGATCATTAATGCCTCGATAATCTTGACAGGGACGAAGCTCTCCACTTTTCTTTCCTACAAAAAAGAACCCACTAGCTTGTGGGGATTTCGACGGAGTGATAAAACCTTTTTCCAAGTTTTCGTCAATAAATTTCTTTACCGCAAGCCTTTCTCTTGGTGAGAGGGGGTATACTTTAGACGTCCTTGGAAGGAACCCAGGTTTTGTTTCTATGCGGTGGTCTATTCCTGGTCGTTCCGGGGGAAGTTGTTTTAGTCCATCTTTGGCAAATACATCCGCATACTCATGGAGATAAGCGGGCACGAGTTCTTCGAAGGGTTTCTTCTGTTTTTCCTTTTCTTCCGTTGCAAACTCTTGCGCCTTGTTGCTAACTTTAAGAGGGGTGATGATCGGAATTTGTTCCGAAAAGGATGTTCCATCCTTTGTGAGAGGAGTGTCGAGCGAAATTTCTTGTATAATTCGAATGAATTCTCCATCAGCACCGTATTCAACCAAGAATTCCCCGTCATCTAGTTTATAGGTAGAGACGTCTTGTACCGGTGGAGCGCACCAAACGTCTTCCTGAGTGTCAAAAAGATCGTCATCCTCCGTTGGTAGCAACAACGGTACATCTTCGGGGATTTCCTCGATGGAAGCAGAGAACTTGGATGGTTGTTTCTTTAGTTTGGAATTTGTCCACTTTCTTTGTTCAGGAGGGGTGCTAAGTTTTCGAATTCTTTCCGAGATTTCGATAGACTTTGGGGTACACGGAAGTGAGAGAGTTCGTTCTGCCCAGTTGATAGAGGGATTCATCTTTTGGAGCCACGGAATTCCCAAGAGAATTTGGTCTCGTGTTCCTAAATTGGTAATGTTGAATTTTCCTATCATGGTTCGTTCATCAATTTTGATGATAAGGGTGCAGTACCGATTTACTGGTCCACTGCTGAAATAGCTTCCATCTGCGGTTCGGATATTGAATGGTTTTTTCAGTTTTCAGGTTCTTATCCCAAGCTTTTTCACAAAGCTTTCGGAGATATAGGTTCCAGAAGCGCCAGAATCGATTACCGCGCTTGTTTCGACATTTTCCTGTTTTCGAGATATGAGAGTAATGGGAATGCGAAGTTCTTTTTTATCATTGACAGCTCGTATCAAACGTACAGGTTCTATCGGAGATTCCACCGTCGATATGTTTCTCCGTTTCAAAAATCCTCTTGAATGCACCTAGTTTCTTCTTCCTCTTCTTCTACTTTGCGGACAACGGGAGGTCCCTTTTTCTTCTGCGGACATTCCCGAGCACGGTGTCCGATCTGGTGGCAAGTGAAGCACTTTCCAACACGCATGTGTTCTTGGCGACTTTCATCCGTGAGTCGATCAATCACCATAGCATCGCGATCCCTTGTGGGTACAAATCTTTGATCCCCAAATCTTTTCTTCTTCTGTTGTATAGGGAAGCGGGATCTAATGGATTGTAACTGTGTGTGGCAGTTATCGATGTCGACTACTGCGGCGATGTAGTCATCGAAGTTCTTTGGGACGTTTCCAGCATTGAACATCTTGATAAGGATTCCTATATCGAGTCCTTGCTGGAAGTGAAAGATTTTGGCGGTTTCTTCTTTGACTTTTGCCTGAGCGATTAGCCTCTGATAATCGGCGATATAAGTCTGGAGGTCTCCGGTTTGTTTGAGAGCTCCTAGCTTGGTCATTGCTGTTCCGGAAGGATCGATTGCAGAGAATGCTTTATTGAAAGCTTCTAAGAAATCTTTCATGGTACCATATCCTTTCTTTTGTCCAGAGGAGTCAAGGAATTGAGCGTCTTCCAGAAATTCTTCTTTCCATAATCTGGCATTTCCTTTGTTCATCAACGACATGATGAAAATGATGCGATGTTTGTCGTCTTTGTAGAGTTTATTGTTGATATCCATGTAAGCGTTACAGGATAGGAGGAATGATCTAGACAGATCCCTATCTCCATTGAATATGGGAGGGTGGTTTATCTTGTATTCGAATTCTTTGCCGCTGCTAGTGTTTGATGTCGACATATTGAGCGGGGGTACTGAAGTACCAAGGTTCAAGGCCTGTAGTCTTGGGGTGAGTGATGTCAGGTCTGCTGTCTGTGCTGGCTGTTTTGCTCAGCAGTTCTTCTTTGTTTTCGGTTTGTCTTCTTTGTTCTGTTGGTATCGGACACACACAGATGTGTGATGTCTTTCGACTTGAATCTTTTGTTACGAACTAGGATAGTTCTAACAATGACAACTCGACAGAGTTTTCGGTCGTTGAGATTCTCAGTCTCTCAGACAAGAGAGAGTTCTGTGGACTTAGTCAAAGGAGTGCTTTGACTAAGAATCGGGTTTTAAGGCGACTTAAGATTGGAGGTCTTAAGCGAAGGATGTTCCAGGTAAAACCTAGTAAGATTCAAGTGAAGAATACAAGCGTAATACATGTGCTTAAATAGATCCATATGTGCGCACAGACCAAGTCATCGTGAGATAGTAAGTACAAGTTCAAAAAAGGAAGGCATATCGTAAGAATGCAAAGAGTATGAAATAGCGGTTGTAACACTTACCCACTACAACAACCAAAACATTATGAGTTTAATCATATTCTTAAATTATGTACTGTTGAATTTGAATTAGATATAACCTTAAAATCATGGCCAGTAGTCAAGATCCCTGAATTCCAATTTAAGACTAAAGATAGTAACAAGACAACAGCCACTTTACTAAAGAATATCAAAGTCATCTATGACTTTTAATGCTATATTTAAACAATGGTCCTTTTAATAAAACCATTGCTTCCTACACACAATGGCATGTGATGGTGAATTACACTATAAAAGCTCTTAATAATTTTTGTAAGAATTTTCAAACTTTCATAGATGGAGCTAGGATATAATCTCTAAAATAATAGTATTCAAAGTAAAATTATTAAGGTTCTAACATGCTATCAAATTCTTTCAGAACTCTATTGAATATCAGCAGACTACTGGCAGAGTCTGAAATTGAACTTTGGTCCATGTGTACACCATGCCTTCTGTACATCCTTGAGTATGACATTCAGAGTGACTCAAAATGCTACTTCAAAAACTCACTAGTCCACTGATAGCTATCCAAATGCAACCTTCCCATGGTACTAGGGGAAGGGGTGCGATTACTCGTAGTACAAAAGGATGTGGGGCAGCTGCTACCTCAGCCAGTGCTGCCACATCTCATGGTGATACTCCTACTGGTGGTATCAGCAAGATCCAGTGGGAGACACCAAACTGCAATCAAATGTCTGTGCTTGTGACATACCTCAGCACCCATCCTGCCAACTGTCAAATATTATTTTATGAAGGAAAGAAATCTCACCCTACTGATGATAATGTAGAGATACAACAATTGCTGGTTACAACACCTGGTAAGCAACCAGCGATATAAAAATGTTGTGGTCTTGCACAGCCTAGTCTGCTATACTTGCGAGACAAGTATGTTCAAGCTAAGGGGTTTGCTGTTTGGTATTAGATTAATTAGTTATATGAAAGGGAAGATAGTCCGAGCACAGGAAATAAAGTCTGAAGGTATAATTACGAGTCTGATGTCAAAGCGTCAGGTCCGATGTTTTTGGGTTTTTGGGTTAGTGTTGGGAATGTAGCAAATGTTGGGGATAGCAAATGTCAGATTACTATTGGATGTTTCAGAGTGTTTCAGATAAAGAAAGGATGATATTTGCAGAATTCAGCTAAGAACTACTAATATCAGATGATCTCCTTCTACTTAGAGGTAGAAAGGTAAGTAAGTAATAGGTAGGAGGTATGCGAAATATATAGTGTCTATGTAGAATTTCAGAGTGCTATAGGCCAAGGTAGTAGTGATAATTTTTGGGTCCAATGTCCTATGTAATAAGACATGTGGTACTGTGGACATGTAATAACACGGTCTACAATGTTAGTGATATGAAAATGAATAACTGTGCACCTAGTGGGGCTAGCAAGATGGGACAGGACATGGATAGGATGAGTGCACAGGATTTCGGGTCAGCCAATGCAGCCAAAACATTGGATCCACTAGCCAAAGTGCCGGGTTATGTTTGATTGAGCGGGTTAGCATCGGGTTACATCAGGAAGTGATTTGTGTGTGATAGGCATTGGATGTGTATTAGGGAATAACAGAATATGAGCTCAGCGCAAGGCTGAGTGCTACAATGGCCCTCCTTCTGGGAGTGACAAGGGCAAAATACACACAGTAATTGCCAAACATATATTTGAGAAGGATGAGATGTATCAGTTAATGTATGCTGAGGATCAGACAAAGTTCACACAGGCTGTGGGTAACCATCTCACTTAGTATGTTTTTTATATACTTCCTCCCCTCTTTTTATGTACACACTAAACACTATATTTAGTCTCAAGGGTAAATATAAGACTCATCATGCACACTTCAAGCAGATGGGCACTGGAGTCAATCCAGAGAAACCTGTCACTGCAGTGAATCTGCTATGTATGTTTTCTTGAATAATAATCAAGCAAATTTAAATTAGTTGTAGCATAAGTTTTAAGCAACTTTCTATGATATGAAGATCTTGATGAAATCTGGACAGATAACCCTGTGTATGCTGCCAAAGCCTTTTCATCCACCTCTGGTACAGATCATGTAGGGGACCTTAAATCCCTGACACAACCACAAAGCAAAGAAAAAGGAAAAGGAAAAGCCTTCCTTCCTCTCAATTCTGATGATTTGATGATCATCAATGACAATGCTCCCAACACTCGTGATGTTGAAGACAAGCACATTGACAGCACTGAAGACCATCCTCCAACTAACCCTCTTAAAGATCATTCTCCCACCAACCCTCTTGAAGACCATCCTCCTGTCAACCCTCCTCCCAATATCAAAGATCACCCACCCTATGATACTATGGACACTGTCATTGTCGACTTCACCATGGGTGAGGAGCTTGATTATGACAGAAACGAGCAAGACACCACCATATAGGAGGATCAGGGGGAAGTAGAGCATGAAGAAGGACTTACAATCCAGCAGTCCCTCTCTAACAAATGCCCGCTCTCCTCCCCCTCCCCACCCTCTACACATACCCGCAATTGCTCATCTCACAGAATATTCAAAACTCATGCCAATCATGTGATGGGCTGTAGACCCATGTGCTCACCAAAACTGCCATCATCTATTGCATCATCATCCATGAAGATAATGACACACTCTATATCCTTAGAACTTTTGTCACCATCTTCCTCCTCACACCAACAGACCACCATGCTCAAAGATAGTGGTGCAAAAAATCTCACCTTGGAAAGAATATTAGGTTGGAGGTCAAGAGTGTCTGTGAGAAAGTCGAGAAGCTAACTAACAACATATTGTATATCTATACTGCGAAGGCGGCAGCCTCTGAGTATAAGATCACCAAGGTCAACACTCTCCGTCAGAAATGTGACCTCGACTTCCAATGTGAGAAAGCTCAGCTTAAACACAACAAGGCCAGCATTGTACATCAGTGCTGTCAAGAGTCCAAGACTCTTGACCTTCAAGTTCTCAAAGCTCAAACCAAGGTTCATGCTGAGCAAAAAGCTGCCCTTCAGCTTGAAATCAAGCTTCTCAAATTGAAGAGAGGTGTGGCTGATTAGGGTAGGCTTTATTATTGTTATTGTCTGCTTCTGTTGTACTAGTGGTTTGTCATTCTCTCACATCTCATGTCTTACATACCATTCTTGTTGTATGTTCTCTGACTCATCATACATATGTTTACATATTTCTGAGCCCATATATGTTGTTACATGCTTGCTTCTATGTTTTATATATATTGCCAATACATTTATCTTGTTAGTTCAACAAATATTCCATTAACTTTTCACATACTTGGTGGCCAGAAGTATCTTGATATGAGGTATCTCCAGGACCCACCTCATCTACATCATGTTCTGTGTCCACTGCAGGCATATAGGCCTGGAGGGCTGATTCTTCAGTTGTACTTTTGATCTCATGGTACTCTTCAAACCAAATCACCATGTTATGAAGAATAAGGCAGCACTGGACCTAGTAAAAAATATATGTAAGGTGTTTGTCATGCTGCAATGGGTGTTGAAGTTCTTGAAGAGACTGAAAGCGATTTTTAAGAGCAGCAAATGTATGCTCTACCCAGACATGAACCTAAATCACCAAAAATAAATGAACACAAGGAAAAATAAAATAACACACATACTCTGGAAAGGGCAGTGTTAAATGCTTCTGGTCACTAGTTAAGGCCCCATTAACAGGCTTCTTGAAAGGAGGAATGCACCATGGTTCTAATAGGTAGGCACTATCTGCCCAGATCCAATGGTTATCTCCAAGAAGTGTTGCATAATGATGGTAAATATGAGTAGATCAGAATGCATATGCATCATGTGCACTACCAGTGTGACCAATAGCATAATCTGCTATAGCAAGATTATGGATCATAACAACTGCCTAAAATAATTTAAATTAGAGAAAAGACTGTAAAATAAAATAAAATACCTGGCAGTTGAGGGAGTACTGAGACTTCCTATTATAAAAAGTCTCACCATAGAGACCTTGCTTGTCACAAAGGGTTATCAATGATCCATCAGCAGCTAGGATACCATTACACCGCTCTAGGAAAGTATTGTCCTGAACATACTTCCAGGAATGACCAGCATCAGAGTCAAGAATGAGGAAGAATATGAATTTGTCATGCTTGGCAAGCAGGAAAATCATGACATGATTGGTGCAGTTTGTGACTGATCTAATGCTAATACCTGCCTACTGGCAGACATCCTCATTTGAGATTACATTGCCATAGTGGCCAGCTGTTAAGAACATGCTCAAGGGTCGGATCCGAAGGGCTTGGCTTCAGCTCATGCACTGCGCCCCTTACCCAAGTACATGCCCCTAACTTCCAAAGGCTGTTGGACGAAGTCCGAAGGTTGTCGGACAAGTCCGGAGTCCAATGTCCGATGCACAAAAATTCCGGCGGATGTTCAGGAACAAGGGATAAGACTAATCCTGACGATGTCCGAACTAGAAAGGAAACAGCAGAGGACTACCAGAGGTAGAGGCGGAGGTGAGAAGTCTATAAGAGTTGATCCTAAGACTAACAGAGGACAACGAGAGGAGAAACTCAAGTTGGATGGAGGAGGGAATGAGCAGAGTCTAAGATAATATTTGAATTAAGGAAGTACAAAGATTCTACAGGGTTTATATACTACTGAGGACTTAACGGAGAATCAGTCAGCACAGTCTGAAGCTATGCGAGGCTGTGGATGGAGTGTATAGAAAAGTCAAACACTAGTCTATCGGAAAATAGTAAATGAAGATGAAAATAAGAACATAGGAAAATAAAGGCGGAAATGAAATGAGGTATGGAAAATGAGTATAGACTAACTGGAGAAGGAACATACAAAGGGAAAAGGCACAGAAGATAGATGCAGGTTGGATCCAGATGTCTGGAGATGTTCGGAGATGAGGGCATGATTGGTCCGGGTCCGGAACACGGGATATGCCACCAGCACAGTTAAGAAATATTGCAAGCTGGATGACAACAGGAAGTTGGGAATTGTTGGATTGATTATGGAAAATAGAATCGTCACTGATTTCATCAAGGATATCATTGAATATTTCTAGAGAAACATGTAACTTCTTTTGGAATAGGAGGGGGCAATGAATAGTGAAGTGATCAAGTAGCTGGATCTGTGGAGCTTGCATAGGGGACTCATCAGGTGAGTAAAGGACATGGGTCATCTCTACCTCATCTAGAAGAGCAGTAAGTGAGCTAAGAAGTTGAGCAAATTGCTCATGGATTGCAATTAAGTTGACACTTGAGTTGCCAGAATATTCTGAAGCATTGAACATAGGAGATATGGGGAACATGGGGGATGGGGTCCTAATATCAGACATAGCTGAGTCTGAACTATCATCATCTTGTATGGCATGTTCAACCCATATTATAGCCACATCTAAGCTAGCAGAATCTATCTGTTCAAGGAGTGCTTGACATTGTGACTGGCAAGGCATTGGAGTTGATATCTTATCATCATCTCCAATCAATCACTCAAACTGATCTATGCAAGATTTAAGCAGAGTTTAAATTTAATGTGGCATGTGCTTCTGTCGTCCTCACTATGCCAAATGACCACCTCAATGTCTCAAGGTAGCCGCCCTCATCAAGCACACCACTGTCTCCACCAAGAAGTCTGAGACATTCTCGACATTCTCGACATTCTTGACATTCTCGGACAATCAACCTGGTGTCTTGATTCAGGTGTATGAGGGTGAGCATGCATACATGAAGGACAACAACTTGCTCAGCAAGTTTGAGCTATCTGGCATTCCCCCAGCACCTCATGGTGTTCCTCAGATTGAGGTCACCTTCGACATTGATGCCAATAGTATTCTGAATGTCTCTGCATCTGACAAAACTACCAGTGTAAGTCAAATCACATCACAATCATCAATGATAAGGGCTGCTTGTCTGCAAAGGAGATTAAGCAGATGGTCTTTTTTCATTTTAACTCTCTTCAAAGGACAGGTAGGCACATCCACACTCTTCTTAACTGTCTCCTGAACATCTCCACATCTAACAAAACTACCAGCAAGTCAAATTATATCACAATCACCAATGACAAGGCCACTTGTCTGCAGAGGAGATCAAGTGGATGAATGAGAGAAAGGTTCAACCAGGGCACAATTATCATGAACCTTCTCTCTGATGCTACACAATCACAGACATGGCCCACTATTGCACCTCTGATCACCAAGGGCAAGACCCTCTACTTCTTGCATGGTGTCTCTGTTGTATACAAGGAAGACACAAAGGTTATACCCCCTAAGGACATTGATGTTATATTAGTTGCACCCAAAGGATCTGGTCATACTCTACTCATCCTCTTCAAGGAGGGTCATGGAATCAACTCTAGTGTCATCTTCCAGGATGTCACTGGTAAGGCCATGGAGAAGACCATTGCTATTGGTGTCGCTGTCAGGTCAGGGTACATGCATTCCTCTACCAGTACTTTGTTCTTTATCATTGTTTACTAGCTATGAAATACATGCTTTTTTTTTGTATGTGCATGTGTCTAACCCTAACCCTACATGGGGTCTTGTGAGATTTGAAGTGATTGAAGCGCTGTGACACTTGGACCCGCACTGGGCAGGAAAGGGCCTATTTTCATATTGATGTCAAGGAGTATAGAACACTATTGTTTCCCTATCCTTATCCGACCCTCATACATCAAGTAACCCCTGTACAAAGCTGAACCCGCACTTTCCCATGCATTGGCCACATCAGATGTGCATTCCCACGCTTTGGATGCCTTGGAAACGCATTAGGAAGGTCCCTCATCTATCCATAGTCCATCCAAACCCCATTATTATGTAAATTTCCTTACCTCGAGGCTTGTAAAATGTGTTGCAGCCTTATTACACGTCCTTACATATTTTCTATATTTCCTATCCCTTCCTTCTCTGAGTGAGAGTCTAGGTAGTATAAGTTGACTACTTCTTAGTATTACTTACGACACTTCCCTCGTACTGGATACCTCTCCCTATAGGTTTACCTTCGAAGTAGTCCCTTGTAGTGTGCACTTTTTAGCCCCTATTAGGTTCCTTATACCTCTCTATACCTAGACTTTCCTTACCTCACAATATACCTTTGCCCTCACTCTCTCTGAACCTTGTTCCTTAACCTCCCTATACCTTGTCCGCACTTTCCCATGCTTTCCGCACCTTCGGCCGCACATTCCCGTGCTTTGGATACCTTCAGATACATTCCCATACCTCACACATACCTTGTCCACTATTTTCCCATGCTTAATGCGCCCTCGGGTCGCACATATCCACAGTCATTCTAGTAGCAATTCCCATTAGGGTCAAACACATCTGTATAGACATAGCAGCTAGGCATTAGCTTGACCCAACCTTTTCTTGCCACCCAGCAAGATTGTTGTTTCCACAGTGCTAAGTGTTTTGAGCACAGTTTAAAATAAGCTTTTCAAGCAATTTTCAGAACATCATTCAGAATGTTTCAGAGTGTTTCAGAGTGTTTCAGAATTGTTTCAGAGCCTTAATATTTTTACTTTAAATACCATTAATACTTAAGTTCAGCATAGAGAGGTAAGATAAGAATTGTACCAGCTGCCAGTAGCATTTATCTTTACTGCAATCACAGATTAGCAAAACTGGAAGTAAGAATAAATCCAATTATTCAAATACCAATACCCATGGTTATAATAAATGTATAATATTTCTGACTCTCATATAACACTTGTCATAGAGTATTGTAATATAAGTCAGGAAGTAGTTGAGTGTGACAAAGGTAGAGTCATCTAGGGTTTCAGTTTTCAATATGATTAAGTTGAGTGAGCTCAATTCCAACAACCAGTCTAGCTACTAATACTTGTATGTTATAAAAATTCAAAAATAATTGGACATATAATAAAGAAAGCCAAACCAATATCTGTAGTGAGTCTAAGCTATACCAATGTTACTTTACTTGCAAGGCAAGAGCATTCAACCATATAGAAGTTGCTATCTGATGAAGTATAATATTTGGTTATATATAAGGGAAGATAATCTAAAAATAGAAATGTCTAATCCAAAACTTTTAGGTGTTAGACGTTGGAGAAAGAATATATTATACTAGTGGATGACTTCCCGTGGGATTTAGAATTCCAGATATGTGATTCAAACCCTATGTGCTGAGGAGCCACTGTGAAACATAAGCAACTTCCAACTCCACACATCAAATGCACCCTGTTCCAGACCCTAATCTGGAAGGGGGGGTACCCCCCCTTCCAGATTCAGACTGTTGTTCTAAACAATATTTCAATGTCCACAACAGCAATGTCAACTTTTCTGGGTGATTATAGCACATTTCCATGTGATGTGGCGAGGATTATATAACGACTTAGCTACCCTTACAATGTTTTTTGTATGTTCAGCCAAGTCTCTTTTATGTTAATCATTGTTTGTTTCAGGTGTAGTACGCTGCATTCTGCACCATGTGCAAATGTCATTTGACCTGCTAACTCACACAAATAACTACGAATGAGATATGTTCTTCTTGATTGTTGGCGTTGAACCAGAGTGTTCATAGTGTGATTGTTCAGCTCTGACAAATATCAGGCCTTCAGGATTGATGCCAATAGTTACTAGTTATGATACACATTGCCTCCTCTGTAATTCATCATCTTCGTCAGTGTTAATGATGCTGTATGCCATGTTTAAAGTTTAGTAAGTAGAATTAGATCAGAAAGTTCATTTGAGAGCTTGTGTCTACTGTGATGGTTTGGAACGAGTTTCTAGATACAAATTCCACCTTGCTGAACCTTCGAATTTTAAGGTTTAGAATGAAATCTAGAATGCTAAATCCTGCAGGAAGTCATCCAGTGTTAGATTGGTAAGGAATGTCAGGGAAAATGAATATCAGGTTACTAATGATATAAAAATCAATAAGATCAGTTTTTTTTTCAAGGTGTTTCAGATAATGATTAAATGATATTTTAGAATTCAGTAAAAAACTCCTGGTATTGGGTGACCTCTATCCTATAGGAAGGTAGATGTAGAGTAAATAGGATGTATGTGAAATATATACTGTTAATGTAAAAATTTGAAGTGCATTAGATAAAAATAGTAGTGATAAATCAGGTCCAAAAATGTACGCAAAGGCATATAAGAGACTGCACCTTGTAGATAATGCTTTAGTAATGCAGAATTAAGTAACTATACACCAGTGGAGGTAGATATGACTGGATAGGACATAAAGAGGACAGTTCCAAAGGTTTCTGAAAGTTTATCCAATAGTCCGATTGTCAGGTCTAACAAATGCCTGATCAGAAAGCTAGAAATAAAATAGCTAGATACAGGCCCAGTGCTCACCTGAGCAATACAGTTCTGCTAGTGTCCTTAATTATTCTTTATAAATCTGTACTTGAACATAACTTTGTAACATTGTGTGTGGACAATTTTCATAGACTTGTGCTAGACTATAGTTCCTAGAGTCAATTTTGACAGCTTTCAAAATTTTATCTAAGTGGCTCTAAGTTTGCATGAGAAGGTTTTCCTGATGCAAGTGAGTACGATCATACTCATGTCATGACTACTTATTGAAGTCTTTTTAGCTTAATTCTTCAATGGTACAAGCTATCAATGATGCTGATATTACCAACCATGGTATCCAAGTGCAGCCCCAAGGAGATGGCATGGTGGGCAGGATGAGAGCCAGTGAGTACCCTACTATATTCCAATATCAATTAGGCATATGCATGGGTTTTGAAAACCCGTGCGGGTACCCCTCGGGTATGGGTGGGGGTTTGCATTTTGGGTACCCAGACCCTCACCCACACCCACGCTTGGGTTTGACCAGTACATTACCTAATCGAGAAGTATAGCGGTACTTACACTTGTACTCAACTGCATTGCTAATACTTGCCTACTATAGTGTGCTATACCCCTCCATCTTCTTCAACACAATGCCTACCTTCAATTTCCACAGACAAAATGAGTGTAAGGGTCCTTTTTCAAGCGCGAGCCACACTGATCTTTGCTCACCATTTGCAGTTGGTGAGTGTGTCAATCCTCGTTCGAACAATGGCCATGCTCATCCAAGCCGTTGCCCACCATCCATAGTTGGTGAGTGTGTCGATTCTCGTTCGAGCAATGGCCATGCTCATCCAAGCCATTGCCCACCATCTGCAGTTGGTTCATTCTCGCTCGCACATGGCGCATGTAGACTCAACTCTGGATGGGCACGACACTCCTCACCTCACTTTGCCCTGCCCTCGACTCTCATTCATACTTGTTCACACTTGTTCACACTTGTTCACACTTGTTTACACTCACTTATGCTCATTTGCGCTTGATCTCACTTGTTTGCACTTGTAACTAGTAATGTAAGTCTGTTTTTTTATTGTTTCAGTGTCTAATTTTATTATTTGCATATGGTACATCAGGAAAACCACTGGCTGGTTTTTCCCACTTATGTCACTTTTTGCCCCTTGATGTTTGGTAAATGCAAGTCAAAACACTGCTTTTCCAACTTAATAGACTTTCGCAAAAGCAAATTCAGGGCGTGCCCAGGCAGATCACCAAAAAGCCAGAAAAGTTGTATTAAGTATAATAAGTCATAAATGATAATACTACTACTAGTACCACAAAAATGTGTTGGCCAGCATGTTTCGGAGGGGAAGAATAGTAAATAGAGGGATGAACCTGGACATCATAACGAGACCGCACCCATGCGCATCATATTCTTCCGAGATGGTGAATGGGTGCCATTGTGTGAGGGATGGACCTGGAAATCGTAACAAGACTGCACCCATGTGCATCATATTCTTCCTAGATGGTGAATGAGTGCCGTTGTGCGAAGAAGTGGAGGGACAAACCTGGAAATTGTAACGAGACCGCGCCCATGCGCATCATATTCTTCTAGGATAGTGAATGAGTACCACTGCACACCAATTTCCAAAGCAGAACAGACTTACCTAAGATGCAATCTCAAATGCATGATGGTCTGCAAATTTGTTTACATAAAATGCGCAGAAGGCATCATATGAGTCGTAGTGCTTGAGGTCCTTTGGGATGGTGTGCGTGCCATAGATTGGAATGAGGTGTGCAGCCCAGTAAATGGAATTGATATGGATGATTCCAACTAGCAGAGAATGATCAGTATCATACGAAGGCTTTACAATCCACATGCCGGTGTCTTCGTCAGGTCCATCATTGGCCTTCTCAAACCAGCGCACTACGGCACATGGGTATGAAACTTCCTCAAATGTAAAAGAGAAAAAGCACATGACATGGCCTATGTCCATCCCCCCCATCCCTTCAACAGCTGCATCTGTGTTTACAAACACACAATCATATCACAGTGCCTCCTTTCTCCAAAGAGGACAAGCACGTATGTGCTCTCGGCGCATGCCACCGATACCACTGCAGTCGCTAGGCGCATAGAACATCGAAGCAGCAGAGTTGAACACTTGAATTTGCCCATCAAATCGAAGGCAGTGTGCAAGCGGGACATCAGACAGTTCGTTGTCCGGATGTAATTGTTCGAATAGGAATCAGCGGAGGAGGTTGTGGAGATGGGGGATAGAAAGTTCTGTACTTAAATCAGGTACAGTTCGTGCACATTTGTGTTCTGTGCAATATTGAAAATTATGAGATATTCATTGGCAAATATAAACTGACTTATGGTGCGTCTTTGCTAACTGAACGTGGGCCTGGACCAATGACGTTGGTCCATCAACGATTTCGCCTTCTTCATTGTCACCCTGGATAGTTATGTTGCGGTCAGGCAGTGGCGTGATGGTATCGTCATTGAGCTCATTGGCTTCAGGCTCATGATTTAACCGCAAATGCACTAGTATAGATGTTGAGCAAGCAATGCAAACAATGATACCATACAAACTCACTTAGCGCTTGAAGAGTTTCGGATAGACAGGTGCTGTTCAGCATCCCATGGCTTTTGAAATTGATGCATGATGCTGCCAGTTTGTCAAGGCACTGATTTGTTACCAGCATTTGACCGAGGGCATGGTAGCGACTTGAACGCCTCCATGGTTCCTTGACAGCTTTGATGTGTTTTGTCTTGGTAATCGAGGAACATAGGCCATCGGGTGCACCAAATAGTCGGATAAGGAGGGCGTAATGAGAGCAAGAATGTTGTCGAGGGAGAGAGAATGTGAATACAACACCTGTCAACTCAAAAACATTCCTGTAATGATGGAATCGGTCGAGAGCGTCCTGGATGTAAACGAGTGTGGATTCCGTGATGATGTTACGCCGCACGAGATAGCAGAATTTGAGGAACGCACGAAATGTGCGCACCACGTCTGTTGGGACATAACCTTTGATGGCGGGAAGATAAACCTGAACTACTGTTAGTCTGAAGGTCACAATGTCAATGTTAAACTTACCTTCATAAGCGCTTTTGAATCGTCGCTGGTCCATTGTTTGAACCCTCAGCCTTGAGGGAAATGTCGAAGACCTGAGAACGAGGCAACGACAGCAATTCTTTCATGACATCAGCTTTGAAACGTTGAATTAAGACAAAAGGACATACCTTCAATCAATATCATCTAGAATCTTCTCTGCTCTTTTCTTGCCATGCACATGGTGCAGATATTGTCCCACCCACTCGACTAAATGGTCCTTGAAAGTACCTTTAATCAATTGATGTAGAATGTCCGGTGCAATAAGTTCGTGAATATCGCCTCGGGGGAAATCGTTTGTAAAGGGCTAGAAAAACTTAAGTCTCGACTGTGTTTCTACAAGACAGGCGACTTACAACAAGGTCAGCGATGATCCCATACTCATCCCACAAATCACTAGATGTTACTTCATCGATAAGAGCTTCTGTATGGTCACGATTGCGACACAACGACTTGGAGTCCAAGTTTTTGCAGTGTGACATGCACCTGTATGTTAAAAATGTCAAATCAGAGTGTATATTGAAAAAATACATTGAGGAATATACCTTGGACACCAAGAGCGTACTATACATGCCAATAAGACCTGCTCCTCGTAATCTGCGATATACGGTCCAAGCCCATAGATAACACGCCGATAGTGCCCATCACCGAAACGCACAACTTCTGGTTTCATCATGCCTGGCTTGAGGTTCTCGAGAATCTTCGATATTGATGAATGAAACAATTGCCGGCGATACTTCCGATATTTCGGGCAGGCCGCATGCTCCTTGGTAGCTACTCAACTATAGTTAGCACAGAACGACAATAGTATGGTAAATATTACTTTTTGGCATAGCTAGGGACCAATGATGGCAACAGCATCGCGATGTGTGCATCGGACATTATTACGAACGTTTCCGATTGATGTGTACAGCGGATAGTAGTCGTTGGCACCAGTTGCGACTGAAACTGTCGTTTTGTCGCTTCTGAGAATGACTGGCATGAAGGTTGAGCCAGCTGTATCTGAGTCTTGAGAAATGATATCCTACCAAACACTGTCAGTGCATTAGCGACACAATAAGGTAAGATAACATACAGCTTGATTCCAAGCCCAGTCACTGGACATGAAATCTTGCCATTGACGTTCATTGTTGTCAGTCAAGAACTCACGGTAGGGCTGGTAGTCCATTTCCGTTGCATAATCTGGGTTTGCTAACATGTTACGAATGACCTCGTGGGGGTCTCGATACCAGACGTCATGCGATTCGGTCATCCAGGGTGGTACATCGTGTGCCGGCTTCTCCCCCATATACTGGATCTTGAAAGATTGCCATTTGACATCGCCTACCGGCGTACTGTCAATGGTCTTATATAAATCGCGGCAGTCTGCAAATGGCGGTTTGTCGTTGTGTTTCAAAAGGGTTGCGACCCAAAGATCCAGTAAGATATTGATATTCCCTGCTGACATCTGATTGCGCGTGTACAGAAATTCCACAGTCTCAAACTCGATGCGATTTCGGTAGGGAGTCCAGTCATCACGCGATTTGCTTGGTGGTGGTGCAGGGGTTGCTCCGTCAGCAAGGAATTGACCTGTTGCATCACATGGGTGACCTTCATAAGTAGTATATGTATTAGTTGCAATTTACTAGAAGATTTTCAAAAAAATGTACCGTTTAGTTTGGGGTGATAGTTGCAATATAATCTATCGCCTGGTCCCCAAAATTCCATGTCCATATTATCAGGCTCGTTGAGAGTCTGACCTGCGTCAAACGAGCCTGCAGGGAAGTCATCATGCCCTATGAAGAAGGTGTCGTGCGGTTCCTCCGGCTCATCTTCAACAGTAGCCGAGTACGAGACACTAGCGGTAGGAGCTGACGTGAATGTTGGATGGGAAGTGTTCCAGTTCTTTGTGCGCCCTGCCTGAGTCTTGAAGTGGCATTCACAGTGCAAGTAACCGCAGGGAATTTGATGGGCACTGTGGTCCCTGCGAGCAGAATGAGACATGAAGGGCAGACTCAAACCGTAGTGAGCAGACTCAAACCGTATGAGAGCCTCGAGAGCCGTGCCAAATACTGTTCATAACTCTAAGTTCAATATATAGCACGCCACAGTCGATACTTGTTTGGGGACTTACAAAATTTTCAAACTTCCAACCTTCACGATCCTGCCATCTCACTCCAGCAAAAGCCTTCGCCTCAGTGTCCCCATCTCCTCAGTCATGTCTACAACAGATATCCCTCGTCGTACCCGTCCATCAAACGCAACTGCCCGGCCTGGTCAGATTGTGCTTAATGCACAAGTCAAGAGACATACCAAGGCACAAAAGAATGCGGATGACCTTGCCGCCAAGGAAGCAAAAGAATTGAAGGAGGCACAGGTCGAAGAAGGACTGAAGCGCCTGGCTGGTATGCAAAATGAGATGGAGAAAGCACAGGAGGAATTACTTACGATGAAAGCAATTCCCATTCGGCCTAAGCCCAGGGCTCATAAGGCAATGAAGCCTGCAGTAAGGACTAGTGACAATCATACTGACAGCATGATGGAGGCTGAAGCTGATGACCTCCAGGAGACTGTTGAGCAGATGGACGATGGAAACGCAAGAGTGACGAAGAAGACGGTAACGAAGAAAGGTGGAAAGACACTGGTAAAGGATGCCATCAGCAACTTGATGCAAAAGAAGATCAACGAACCGTCATCAAAAGGGGAAGGTGATATCACTGATGGCATGGCACGTGTATCTGATGGGAAAGACTCAGTGTCGTAAGGCTTCTTCTCTTACCCATCACTGATGTTACTTCTCACTGAATCAACATTATATTTCCTCAATCTTACCTCTAGTCTCAATGCAGCCAGTCAGAAATTTGCGTTGGGTGGCCGGGTCACCAACTGGGTGTCCGATATCAAGCCGCAGGGAAAACCAGAACATCCAAAACTGGCACCCACATCAAGTGTTACTCGAGCGCCTCTAACTCCAATTTTCACACAAGGCACTGCTTCTACGGTAGCAACTTCTGATGCGCAAGTCCCAACTCAGAAGCCTGCAGTTCCTGCTGAAATTCTAGGCGCAGATGATGCCCTCATAGGCAGCTTTGCAGATGCCATCAATGATGCCCTGGAGCGTGAGGCCGCTATTGTGCAAGGCAAGGGAAAATTGAAGGTAAGTGAATGCGATTTGATTGTTAGTATCCACTCATTGTTTGTTCTGCAGGTAGCCTCAATATTTGAAGATATCTCAGACTTTGAGGCAAAGGCAACTTCCACGCAAGTACTATCAAGAGCACATGACTCAGATGACAATTCAGTGGCCTCATCTGCCGAGCAGGAACAGTACTCGCTGGAGACCAAACCTCCATTCACACAGGTTGACCCTTCCCAGACCCTCAAGCGGAAAACTGTGCTTGATGACACTTTAGATGATGACGAGGTGTCTGACTGGTCCATGGACGTTGACGGCCCCGCTTTTGAGGACCTGGTTATGATTTCTGATGAAGATTCGCAGCCCAAACCTGTGGTGCTAAAGAAGAACAAGGTTCAGTGCACAACGTCATTGGTAAGTGTGAAATGTTAAATCGTGCTCACTCTGACACTCTCATAGACGTCTGTATCTGTTGCTTCCGCTGCTGACAGCAAGCCACCTGCTCTCAAGAAGGCCAAGATCGAATCATCTCTTATACGTGCCCGCAACACTCCTGCTATTGAACGCCCGCTGAATGTAGACACTGCGCCAGATCGCATGAAGCCTCATAGCGCCTATTGTAACGTCGACTTACCTGCTATGATGCAGGTGGACCAGCGCTGGACAAAGAAGTATCTACCTACCGTCATGTTGTGGGCTGGGAGTTATGAGGATATCTGGACCATCCCAGATGATGTCCTTCTCCTTCACGCCCAGCTCATTTTGAATGCAGTATACAAGGAACTTAACATCACTATCGTTCATGGTGGTGTGATACACTCCCTCGTAAGTCTTTTTTTTCGTTGAGCTTGACTGACTGTATTTGTAATTAGACAGCGCAGCGTATATCTGAATGGCGCAGCAATTTCGGCTCTACGGGCATAGTCATCATCCTGGACTTTTTGACGCGAAATTCTGACTGTGATCCTGTTGAACTTGCCGAGTCTTTGGTTACCAGCTACACATTCCTGTTTGAAAATCCTGACGACCCAAATCCCCTCACAGTGTACCGCTCTCCCTTTGTTTTGCAGCTGTTGGGTACTGCGCATCTCAATGCCATCAATGGCTATGTGGAGGTTCCCAAACTCGACATGCATGCACTCGCAATGCGTGGGATGTCAGGTGTTATTTCCCTTTCTGCTGCAGCAGTAAGTTTGATCTTCTGGCAGTCTTATTCATGCTTATTGTTTCAGATTGAGCGCGCCCTCAATATGTTCGCAAAGAAGCATTTGAAAGTCAAGGAGGTCTTAGCGGCTGGCTCAGGTAAACTCACTATCAAGCTACCAAAAGTCCTCAACAAAGCTACTGGGAAGATGACCAACACCCCATTCCTATTTTCGGAGGCTCGCTGGACTAAAGCGACCAAGTCGTTCACCAAGTCCCTCTCAAAAAAGCCTGCGGGATACATAGAGATGACGATACAGATGGCGCGTGCCTGTACTGCATTGAATGATGCGACGGATACACCCCAGGGCTCATTTGATGAGGAGGAGTCTGATGATGAGCGCGCTATGCTTTGTAAGTCGTTATCATTCAGGTTTCATCTGTTACAGGCATCCGTAACACCTACAGGAGCCCCAGCTCTGCCTACGCCTGCCCCCGCTCTGCTAGACTCCCCATGCGGCGGTGCGCCGCCCGCACCTAGAAAGACAGCGGTCTGGACCACTATGACCCCGCCCCTGGCACTATGACCCCACCCCTGGCCTAGATGGCCTTGTGCCTGATCCATGGAGGCTGTACACCTCATGGTCACCCTAGATCAGCGCATGCATACCGCATGTCGCTTCATGAAGATCTGGAGCGCTCTTGGTGCTTCCTGTACCTACGCGCAGTCGCACTTGGCGCTGCATGCTTGATCAGAGGTTAAGCCTCATGTACCTTATCTGACCTCATGTCTTGTTATTATAGATCATAGATATACTATAGATTACAGACTGAGCTAGAATACCTATGTGTAGCACATATAAGTAGACAGATTATAGTACTTAGACTTTACTTTAATCTACTAGGTTCATCCCCAGAACTTGCTCATCTAAGCCTAACCAGCTTCCTTGTGTGAGACCGCACTTCTAAGCCGCTCCCTTACGACTTAGCACGTATCCGCTAGCCCTGTATCTCGACGAGCGCCGTCTTACCGAGATCACCGGAGGAACCCTTGATGTTCCGTCAAGCCAAGAACCACCCTCAGCTTCAGTAGGCTCACTCGAGCCGTCGCTGAGAAGACCTATCCTAGTTCGCACACGCCGACCGACGGTCAGCGTAACATCATCTCACTGACATCCGCGACCTCAGGATTTGTCTATTTGTTGTGTCTGCACCATTTCCACTATCCTACGTTCGACAAACTCTGGCTGTCACTATAGGCTATCATCTTCAAGTTGTTTTGCCGTCATTTTTAATCTGCTGCCATTCCATTTGCTCCTGCATGTCCCCTGTTTTTCCTACTACTATGCTGTCGTCTTACTTTTCATTTCCTTAATTTTCTGCTTATCGTGTAGTAATACTGCCCCATTTTATGAAAGACTTGTGCCGCTTTACCTGCTTTCTTAAGCAAAATAAGTGTTGAAAAACTGAAAATTCAGAGATGGAGTGGGCTTAACTAAGTGGCTCGCGCTTTTTTGCTCAAATGACTTAATGCTTCTTTTCGTGTAATTAAGTGACAAATTAAGTTAGAAAAGTAAACTGTGGTTTTCCTGATGTACCCACAGGTAAACCCCACACGGTGCGGGTATGGGTCTGAACTTGTCATACCCGGCAAAAACCCGTACCCACGCTGATGGGTACGGGTTTTTGCCAGGTACAGGTGTGGGTATGGGCTCTGGTACCTGGGGGTTTACCTGTGCGGATCCCTAATATCAATGATTCACAGTGGCACCCATTAATAACACATTCAATACTATTATATCCGTGTCAGTACTGTTTTCTGGGTCAAATGGAATAATTTCCAAGTGCATATATTCAACAAAAACCTATTGATACACCAACAATTTTCTTAACCTCTATCTTTTGCATCTCAAAAAGTGCCATTTTTTTCAAAGTACCTCGAAACTCAGCAAGAAAATCATGTGCCTCTGATCCATTTGTCCCATGTCTTCACGTATTGGCTTGATTCTTGTCAATTTTAACTGGACTTCGGACCTCATCTGCGTGTAATGCCATGTTTTCCACTGCCCACACGTAATAATAAGTACAATACAATACTACAACAAGACTCTGTAGCGAAATGTGCAGCAATCATTGCGACTGCTCGGCATAAACCTGCGAAAGATTAATGAGTAAAATTATTTACGTGTTTAGTTACCCAACCAACCTTGATAGTCTTGTCAGCTCCACCAGTGATGAGCCGTGTTCCGGTCATATCGAAGGTCGAACAAAAGACGCCGGCTTCCGCCTCGAGGGAGCCGGGTTGAGGTACGTCATCAAGATTTTGGAATGGAGTCCCCGTATTGTAATCCCAGAACGTGAGTGTGCCATTGTCACCTAAGCATTACAACAGCGATTAATTCAAATTTGAGGAAAGCCGATGGGAAATGGTAACCTACCACCAGAGAAAAATACGCCTTCTGCGTTGACAGAAAGCGTATTTATGATAGCGTTATGACCGGGGAAATTGTGTACAAATGCACCCTCTGGACATTTCCATTTTTTTATGTTATTACCGCCTGCAGAACCTGATGCAAAGGAATATTCTGTTGGGTGAATTGCCAGGGCCCTTACAGATTTTTTGTGATGAGTGAGGGTGACCATCGTCTTTCCAGCTGCTAGGTCCCACAGTCTTAACCAGGTAGTATCAGTCAGTGTGTTAAATCGCGAAAAAATTCGACGTACCTAACCGTCGAGTCCATACTTCCAGTGATGACTTGTGGATCAGATTCTTGGCATTTGACGTCAGCTACTGTTGCGGAATGCCCAGCGAGAACATGAATCTGGGCCTTTGTGCGCATATCCCAGACACGAGCTGAGGCATCGCGACCGGATGTGACCAAAACATCCAACGTCGGGTGTAAACTCAACGAGTAAACGCCTGAAAGATGACCATGATAATGCCGGATGACTTTATTGGCTTCGAGATCCCAACACTTGACCATCTAAAGGGAGCAATGATCAACGAGACGCAGTTGACGGGTAATAGAATGACTCACCTTGTCCTCACCACACGAAAACAAGTACGGGTGTCTCGGTGAAACGGCCAGCCCTCGGACAGTGGAAATATGACCGGTCAGGGAAAGCTTCAACTCCCCTGAAGCCAAGTCCCAAATTTTGATAACTCTATCTCCAGCACCAGTAGCAAACCATTTATTCCCTGGCTCGACCGCCACACTACGAACCCAACCCAGATGACCGGATATGACGCGAGACAGCTTCCATGGAGCATGGTATGTTGGCTTGATGGTACGAGTTGTTTTGTGTAGGGTCAAAGCCTCGGAGAGCTTATCAGATGTAGAGAACGTGGACGGTTGCACTTTAGGTGTGTTGTCTATTGCGGCAATGAGTGCCATAGACTTTGTCTGCTCCTTTGGCCGAGCAGGTCCAATAGGGCCTTGTTGGGCAAGTAATGCAGGAGGGAGCTCTTTGAAATCACGGTATTCATCGTTAATTTTCACCGACAGACGTATTCGCGCACTAAAAATTTCTTCAGCAAATGTGCTCGGTGTCCCAGAACTTGTTACACACCTCTTCTCATCTTCCTTCATCCCGTCATTTGGACATGATGCAAATATGTCTCTTGTGCGCTTTGCACTCCTCCTCAGTAAAGGATCCAGCGGCGGAAGAGCATGTGTTGTACTCATTGATAATACTGGATTGTCAGCAGTCCGACGGTCAATGTCAATGGCAGTGGCAGGGTGACTGGTTTGATTATCATTGTTTGTTTATTTACGAGAAAGGCAATCAAAGGCGCGGTTGCTTATCTGAAGCAAAGAGCTTTCATGCTTCAAGACCATTCCGTGGTCATAGTTTAGGTGGTTTAAAGAGGATTGAATAGCGCTTGAAGTAACATAGTGGTAGACATTAGACGCCATTTCGTCAGTCATGTCTGAAACAGCAGCAGCCGAGCTTAAGAAGCTCGTGAAACAGCTCCAAAATACTTCCACAGAGGTGTGTACAAATTTTCTAGGTCAATCCTTTTAGTTTGGTTTGCTGACGACCCTCGTGTAGGAAAAGGTATCGATTCTGCAAATCTTGAAGAAAGACTTCCAAGTAAATGAAGCGATCTTAAGGGTAGGTATCCGTGCTCGGATTTTGCCTTGTATTTTGACTCACTGGTGTGAATTCATAGGAAAGCAAAGCAGGGCTTGCTGTCGGAAAATTGCGGACCCATGAGGCAAAAGAGGTCTCCGAACTCGCCAGAGAGATCGTAAAGAAGTGGAAAAACGAGGTTGAGCGCGCTAAAGGAGGTTCAGGCTCAAAGGCGGGGACACCTGCGAACGGCAAGGCAGCACCAAGTGAGTCTGATCCACATATGCTGCTAGATCCTTATAATGACTATGGCTATCAACTCTATCCTCTCACAAAGCTCGCAAGGGATCTGCTTCGGTCACACCCTCTAACGCCGCTACTCCCGCCCCAGTGAACGGGAAGTTAGAACCTCGTACTGCGAAAGGAGATGGTGCAAAGGCATCCGGCACGGGGGACAGCACGCGGGATAAGTGCATGGAACTCATTTATGATGGCCTTGCTTGTGACTCTGGCGCTCGTGAGTTGATCCCAGACTTCAACTTCGATATCTGACACTCATTAACCCTGAAAACAGCCAGTGATCTAATCATGAGTCGAGCAAAAGCTGTGGAGGCCGCTATTTTTGCACAGTTTGGTAGTGCTAGCGCTGCATACAAGGGCAAAATCCGTTCTTCGTACGTCAACCTCAAGGACAAGGGCAATCCAAGTCTACGAGAGAACATTGTCAGCGGTGATCTTTCGGCGGAGAGGTTCAGCAAAATGACAAGCGAGGTACGTCAGGAATCATGAGATCTATTTTTAATGCTGATTTGTTCAGGAAATGTCTTCGGAGGAACGACGGGCGGCAGACCAAAAAATAAAGGAGGAGAACTTTTTCAAGTCCTTGGGAGCTGGCGAACAAGAAGCCGAAACGGAAGGCTTCCAGTGCGGAAGATGCAAGCAAGTAAGATGCTTTCATTGAATTTGGTGGCTTGGTGCTCATCGTTCGTAGCGCAAGTGTCGCTACCGCCAGGCGCAGACCAGAAGCGCCGACGAGCCAATGACAGTGAGTAAATATCTAATGGAAATCAGACTAAAGTTTACGTCTGTGTCTTTCTAGACTTTCGTGACGTACGTGACCTTTACCTGTTGTACAAGACAGACATACTCACCTTTCGTCTCATCTTCAGATGCGTCAACTGTGGCAACAAGTAAGTAAACTATTGTCAAGGAAACTCGTATCTCATTTATCACTTGTAGATGGAAGTTCTCGTAAATATTTGCATCGTCTAGGAGTGCTTTATAGTCGGCAAGATCATTTTTCTACTGTAGTTTTTTTATTGTCCAATTGTCGGGACATCGTTCTGTTCGCCGTAGACGGCCCTGTCGTAATGATGTATACCTGCAATCTATCTTGAAAAAATACCCCTTTGTTTCTCACAACTCGTATTTCGCACATATCGAGATAAAGGGACATCACAACGGGTTGATGCCATTGTGTTAGTCCAAGGACGGCGCATACATCTCCGGGTCAAAAGTTTGACGTGATTTAAAATTGGAAACTTAGAATGATGAGCGATTGCCGTCCCACGTGAGGGTGGGAAAACGAGTGGCTTCTGAAATGCACGCGTTTGTACGCGTTAACTGCCGAGGCCACCAAGCTAGTTTCGTTTTATACCAGAACACCATTAATTCCTTGTACCACTGCTTTCAGCCGACTGTGTGTACAGATATGTCCGAAGATACTGAGGACGTCAAACCGAAATTGAGCTTGGTCATTAACTATGAGGGTACCCGTCAGTCTTCTTTACTGCTATTCCGACGCGTTCAACAAGTATTGACAACCCGTGGCCAGAAATCACTGTGAAGGTGAAGCACAACATGACATTTAAGAAGATATTCGATGCAGCAGAGGTGAGAACATAGTCGTTGCATCAAATCTTGCATTCTCATCAATCGGCATGACGTGCACCAGAAACGGTTTGGAAAAGAACCAGGTGAGTGGCAACTGCTTTCAGAAAGGCGAAGAAGTTCTGTACTCATGTTCAACCCTTCAGGGACGTTTAAATTCATTTACGATGGCAGAAGATTGCGAGCTGAAAACACGCCTATGGATGTGAGTGCTCTACTGATGCTCAGAGAACGACCGACGCTCGTATGCTGACGCCTCATCAGATGGAAATGGAAGATGGTGATCTCATTGACGCTCACTTAGAGCAGGTATGTCGTATGATTCTGTTGTTATCTCGATCCTAATACCGCAGTGCTCTCTAGCTGGGTGGTGGCACAATTATATGTTAGCTGTTGTACATCCACAGGCTTCCGTAGGTCATGCAATCGGATGTATTCTCTCTACTGTATCACGTCTCACCACTCAATCCGTTCCAATTTACTTGTCACCAAAATGATGGGGCCTCGACTCGAAAGCTACCGCTCCTTACTTGAGGAGATCTCTGTTCCACCATATGCAGGGGTGAACATCCTCTCTACTCGGGTGCCTCACTTCTACATTCTTTAATTCTTGTCAGGCTCTTCAACGACAAGCTCAAGGGATCATATGCCAGCCATTGAGGGCGGCATCTTGTCAAGGTTAGGGGTACGCTGGCAAGTCGCCAGCATCTCACTGGTAGGCCACCTTAACTCACTCAGATGGTAACAATTCCTAGTGTAGTTATCCCAATCTAAACTCGATCCAATGAGTCACCCACAAAGTATGGAGATCACCGTCTTTCGCAGCGCTACTCAGCGTTGTGAATGCGTTGATTACGGACAACGACGCCACGGAAAGACACTCAGCTCTACGATCCAGCGCTTCCAGGTAGCAAGTTGGGACCACAGAATGATCAAGCACCTTCAGTTAACGTGAGATCTACTTGGAGCGATTATGTTCATACCGGTTTATATCGTATAATTATTTGTCACAAGTACCGTAGCTTTTCCCAAGGCTAGGAACCTCTGTGTAATATTCCGACTATAACTGACAACCCGAATGAATACACGAGAGACGGTACATGAGGATTAAGATATTGAATTCTGAAATTCTATGTGCCCATGTATTTGATCAGGGGCATCGACGCAAATGGCAATCACGTGTGGTAGTGGTCTGCACCTTGACTGACGCAACATGACTGTTACGGTAATGTCGGCCACGTACAAACAAAGGCTGAGAGGATGGCTCAGTTATGCATTTGCTAGGTGTGTAGTACTCGTACTCTTCTCCCCAACAAGCTCTCAAGTCATAGCAAGTGAGGCTTTTGTGGTGGTTTCCCTCACACTCTTCCTACCAATATGTTTAGAGCAATTTGCCCGTGACAATGGGTTCTTGCAACCAGAGAAGACTGAATCATGTTCTTCACTTTCGGGTTCTGTGCCTGCAAACGTGGACGGCAGATGCGCAGTAAAAATTGGTTGGTTGTGGATAGATACCGCTAGTTTCAGGTGCGTCCAATCTATTCTGGCTAGCGCTGGTGCGGACGTCGTAACATACTCAGTCTCTATGTCTATTCGATGTCTGTCGCTTTGCAAGCACTCACGGTGATCTCAATGGGGAGCATAGCCGACCGTTGTATGTTCCATGGTTTCGTTCTGGAACTAGTCTTCATTACTGGTGGCAGCGTCATACAGAAAGCCCCTTCTCCTCACTTTCGCTGCAATAGGTGCCTTCTCCGCGAGCCTTTTTCTCCTTCTATCGTCGACATCTCCATTGTGGATGGTCTCTGCGCTGCTTACAATTTCGGCTAATGTTGGCTTTGGTGCCTCCGTAGTCGCTATGAACGCGTATCTGCCGTCATTGGCGAAAGATTCCCCAGAAGTAGTTCAAGCTTACTCCGAAGTGACAAGGTCATTCGAAAACCGGGATGAGAATTCCGCTCTTACTGCAAGTGTTGATCTTGAATTAGAGCGCTCCTTTGAAGAAGCGTCAGATCCTCTTCTTGGTCATCCAATCCATCCGGACACTTCTCAATTAACTTACACTGCCGCATTGTCGAGAGCCACCTCGCGAATATCATCCTTAGGAATTGCTTCAGGTTATGGTGCAGGAATCATTCTTCTCTTGGTTGCACTCATACCTGTCACTCGCCTGCAAGGTTCCACTTTCTCACTACGTCTCGCCATCGGTCTCAGCGGCATATGGTGGGCATTGTTCTCTATACCTGCTGCTGTCTGGCTCCCAAACGCAAGCAATATCGATGAACCAGAATCCGGTTCTATCAAGGCAGATGACGATTGGACCTTCAGTTCGGAGATTGCGGTTGCATGGAAACGATTGGGAGTTATGCTTCGCTGGCGGGAAATAAAGCGTCTTCGAAATACCTTCAGATACCTCGCTGCTTGGTTCCTTCTCTCCGATGGTCTGTCTGTTATTCCACCAATCAATTACTCTTAATTTGACTTCTCAACAGGTTTCACTACTATAACATCGACCGCGATCCTGTTTGGAAAAACGACTCTGCACATGCAAGCTTCGTCTCTCGTCCTCATTGGCGCTATCACACCACTCTCAGGAATCATTGGCTCTCTAGTATCCCCCATCCTCCAACGTAAATTCATGTGGTCAAATCTTCACGTCCTAGTCCTTCTCGTGATGATGGTCTCGCTGATTCCGGCATACGGGTGCTTGGGATTCCTGCCCGTCTTCAAGGGAACTGCACATTTTGGTGGACTGACAACACAGGGAGAAATGTTTGGTCTCGCAGTGTACTTTGGTTTGTGCCCTTCTCCTCGATCGCGAGCATTGACTGACTAGTATCGTTATCACAGGTTTTGCGTACGGTGCGTTTCAGAGCTATGCTAGAGCTTTGTATGCGGAGTTATTACCTCCTGGGGAAGAAGCTCGATGGTATGTGTCTTTCGCATAGGTGTGGCACGTAGAATATTGACGCACTGCTCCAGGTATGGTCTTTTCTCGATAACAGACAAGGTAGGCAGATAGCCTCAAATCTGTTTTGCACTGACTACATTTTTGTCTACAGTCAAGTTCTTTCGTTGGCCCGCTCATCGTTGGCCTGATAGCGGATAGCACCGGGAACATTCGCTACGCATTCTTTTTCCTCGTATTCATGGTGTGGGCAGCAGTGCCTGTACTCCTCAGCGTTGATGTTGACAAGGGAAGGCAGGATGCAAAGGATTATGTTTCGTGACGAATCGTAGTTGGAGAATGATACTATCCGTATTCAATAATATTCCCTCGGTGTGCATGGTGCGTAGGATGAAATATACAATTTTATGAGATGCATGTACTATACGTGCTGAATCGAATGGAAGCAAATCATTTACAGCTCCTTCTTCGCTGCACGATCCCTCTTAGACTGGAATGCCTGAAGGGCCTTCAGTCGCTCTGTCAGTGTGGGGTGTGAGTGGTGATAAGCCGAGTATCTGTATTAACGACACATCAGCACTTCGATTCCAAAATATCATAACTCAACTCACAGCCAATCAACCCATACGGTACTCAGATTCTTGATATGGAGCGTGATCAACGCCCGTGAAAGCCTCTCACCCATATCCTTCATCTCTGGGGCCGACAATCGATCCTGGATTTCACACGCAAAACGGTCCGCTTCCCACTCAAACTGGCGCGAAAGGGAATTCAGCGCAATGCCAATAACCGCTTCCAGGGGGCTAAGAATCATCTATGTTCAGCGTCAGCGTCATATGCAAGAGAAGACTACATAATGACGCACCTGGAATAGCAAGAATGCAACAATGGTTGGTGGGCGGGCAGAGATAGCTGCGGAAAAGTCGAATGCCCGCAAGAATTGAGGTGCGTGTAGGAAGGCAGGAAACATGGCGAGGATGGTGAAGATATGGACTTGAGATACACAGAGCAACTTCGTTGGGTGCATGTGATACCAGTGACCGAGTTCATGCGCTGATTCAAGAAGTTCAATCGACAGGCCAGAAAAGAAAACGCGTGCATACCTAAAACTGCCTCGACTTCCTCAGGCTTACTTTCTTTGATCAGGGTGTCGAAGATGACGATGTGTTTGCTCTGAATGATGATGAGCAGGGATGGTCACAGCAGGTGATGTATACTAACCCAGGGCAATCCGAAGAAGTAAGCATTGCTATGGGAGCTACGCTTGGAACCGTCAATCTCATACAGATGCTTCAAGGGGAACTTGAGCTTCGTCGCGAGCGATTCGGTCCTTGTGCGTAGCTCGCCCTCCTGGAGGGGCGAAAGCTTGTTGAAGAGTGGTTGAATCACAGTTGGATATATGATAACCATTATGATCTGGAAAGCCAGACTGGAGAAGGCATATCAGCACAGCCCTACTTGCATAAAGGAAAGAACCGAACAGAAAAGCCATAAGCCATGGGACGAAGCGGTCTCCAGCCCACCCAAAAACGTAAAGGAAAGCGGCGAGAAACGGCATGCCAATGACAAAGCCAATCGCCCAGCTTTTCAAGAGGTCCGTGACGAATAATGCGGGTGTAGTCTTGTTAAAGCCGTGCTTCTCTTCCAAAACAAATGTTTGGTAAGCAGAGAGAGGTATTGAAGGTATGGATGAGATAACAAAAAGCACGATAGCAAACGCAAGGGATTGCGTTATCTATCATATTCAGTCAGTTTTGAGGTTTATATTGATTGTAGGGAGCCACTGAACCTCATACTCGCTGCTATATCCGAAGTAACCTATCAGCCCCCCAGCCATGTCCCATGCAAACGCATATAATCCATAATGAAGCATGGCAGAATCAAGAGCTTGTTTGAATAGTCCAGTGATCAGGGAGAATTTTGCCTTGTCCTTGCCGTAATTCTGGGACTTTGTAAAAGCCTCAGCATCGAAGTGGTCTACTAAAACCTCTGGAGGAGAAGTTTTCGAGTACAGAGGATACTGGCGAAGCCTGTGAGCGGAAAAAAAGTTAGTTAGGAAAGAGAATCCAACAGAGCAGTACACTGACAGAAGGTAAGACTCGAACAACGTAACACTCCATGAGAAAACTTGAACATAAAACTTCCAGTCAATTGGGTCGGTTGCAACAAAAGACAACTTTTGCTGGAGTGCTGCAAGCTGAGAGTGCAGCAGGTCCATGATGTGACTAGTCCTGGGGCGTTGGCAAGGGGTTACGAAGAATCGTCTACTAGTAGAATATTCGGTTTTATCTTGTCACATGACACGTCTTCATTCATGACCACGTGGCGGCAGACGTGTACTTGGTGAGTAGCCGAGTACTAGTCCCGAGGGCTGGCGCAGAACGTTCCTTCAGGGGAATACATTCTTGTTTGATGGGTCGCACAAGTAATTAAGTCGAATGAGACTAATACTATCCAGATAATATTACATGCGCGTGGATATGATCATCTTAATGGTTGTGGTTTACAGCGAGTTCAGTAAGACAGACTTCTCGAAGTCCTCGCGGTTGTTCTTGATATTTTCCAGCCCACCCTTGATCACCTCCATGCGGTGAGCCTCAGGATCATAATGATCGCTGGGTTCCATTCCAGTTTGTGGAATCCACCCTGTAGGAACGCGCTTGAAGGCAAAGTCGCTAATGACCTCTTCTGCAGTCGATCTGGCAGAATCGATGGCTCCGGTAATCCACGTATGATGACGGCTCAAATGCTCTCCGGCGAAGTAAATGTTACCTTCCTTACGACGAGCAATGTCAAAATACTCTGACAATTGCCCGGGAAGGAACATAGCATCGCCGGTAGGGTTGTGCTCGGACCATGCTAAATCCTCTGCCGCGATGAATTGGTTGTAGATGTCAACGCTCGGGAAAACCTTTGAAAGGTGACATAGAGAGTTCTTTAGACGTTCGCTGAAAGGAATGGAGGACCACACAGACGCGTCCGTGTTCCAGGAATACAGAAGCAGGACGCCAGGTCCCTTAGAACCGATGCCATTGGATGGATATACAATCCACCGAATCGGCAGATCAGTCGTTGATTGTCCTCCTAGAGAAGGGGGTTGCACATGCTCCCAGAATCGAGTCTTGAAGCGCAGACCGATCTTATACAACGCCTCGTAGAACATAGCGCGGATAGCTTGCTCCTTTCTGTAATCCCAGCGAGGACGCTCTGGAATCATCCTCAACGCACTAGGCGGAATGGCAAGAATCACCTTGTCAAAGGTTTTTTCTACCCGGCCCCTAGGCGTATCTGCGCAGATAGTGACACCATCACCGGTCTGCTCGATCTTCTGCACTCGCGCACCAAATGTGATATTGTCCATGCCAACCACCTCGGCAAGTGCCTGAGGAAGTCTGTCCATCCCCTCTTCCAGTGTGAACCACTGTTTAGTGTCGAAGTCGAGGTTCTGCATGATGAGCTCAGAGAAGCTCAGCGCGAACTGGTTGGTCTGAGAGCACATAGTCTCGGTGAAATCAATGACTGATTGCGGCCATCCAAGAGATTCCAGGTAGGAACGGAATGGGACTTTGTCAAAACGCATGAGGAGCTTCCAGCCCTCGTCGAAGTCTCTCTCCAAGAAATTAATGAAATCCTGTATAGCGCTCAGTAGCAAGGCATCTGCAGTCTTGCTATCATATGGTGCTGTGAGGTCGAATCCTAGCGCCTTCGCAGTGTTATCATCACCTCCGTTCTTCAAAATACCGTTTATGAAGATGCGATTGCCGGGGGTGGTGAGATGATAAGGTATAAGATTGAGGTCGGCGTGATGGGTGTCTTTGAGAAGTTTAATTAAGTCGAAGGTTGGTTGATGCATCTGGGTACTTGGAATACGCATGGCACCAGCCTCAAAGTATTGGTCCTTCTCGGATGTAAAGCGGTAGGTTTTAACACGACCACCCACTCTCCCATCCAGTTCGTACAGAGAGACTACGATGCCGGGATTGTTCGACAATTTCAACCGATATGCAGCATACAAGCCAGCCATGCCAGCTCCCACAATGCCAACATGCTTTAATTTCCTTCGGGGTAACCACGATAAGTTCGCATCCCGGTAAAAAAAGACATGCATACCTCGGTCGTGCTAGAGAAGGGGACTGGGACATGATTGATATTGATGTAATGACACTATGGAGCCGTCATCAGAAAACAGGCACTACTTAGTAAAGATTGGGAAAACTTACAATAAGGTCGGTCGGTGGGGACTTGGTTTAGAACAAATGAGCAGGACATGCAAGCATTTTATACCCAGGCGGAAGGAGCTTACTGCGGTTTCCCTGCCCAGGGCAATCTGGGCTGACAGTTGCGCCCTAGTCAAACTTCCGAAGTCGAGCGGCGACTAGATATGATTCTAAGAATGCCGAGATGTCCTAGGAAATGTTGATTTTGGTATCTGCATCGTAACCAAAAGTCCAGTGGAATGTTTGACTAGTGCAGGAAACCTGTAGAAGTCCACTGGGTGCAGGTGAATGGTTGGATTCGAAGGGGCCCATCATAAATGAGAGTACTGAAAGTGGGCTCAGGTTATTGATTTCTGTTAGAGCATTTCAAGAGCGCCTCGCCCATTGTCAAGAAACGGCATTTTCCTTTGCACTATTTCAAAAATAGCACGATTTGCATTTCAGATTCAGGGAACATTGTATCCGAGAAACAACACAAGAGTCACCGTACAGTCATCAGGAATCTGAGGAATTTGCCTCATTTTCGTTAGTACTCAAAGTTTGTCCTTGTCGTGCACGGCGTTGTGCAGCCCACTCCCTAGCCCTAGCGCGCCGAGCTTCCTGATCAACTTCCTCCAACCGTACATTAAGGGTCTGAGGCGAATCCAGGGTCGCGGCAGAACTCTCACTAAGCTTTAATGGGGATGTTCCCTCACTCTCAGACTCTTCTTCACTACCTTCATCATCACTATCTCCATACGCAGCGAGTCCTCCCAGACCTACGTTCCCTGAAGCTCGCAGCGATTGAGCTGATCGGTCGACTTTTTCTTGTCTGAGCCTCTCCTTGGTCGTGCGCCATGCTCGTGACCACCGTCCCCTTAAAAATGCAAATCTCTTATCCGCACCGTGGTTTGCAAGAATGCGCATCTCCAGTTGTGCAGGATTAGGAGACGATAGAAGGTGTAGCGCTGTTCTTTTCATAAGCGCTGACTGGACATCATCAGGCTAGCACAGAAATTGTCGTCGTCTAATGTCACCCTTACGACAAGTACTAGTGAACGACCTCTTACCTCCTCATCACTACCTCCCCAAAGATCCAACTGTTCGTTTTCATCGGTCTCGGCAAGAGCTTTCAGACGGTCCTCTCTGTTTTGGTCAATGAGACGCCTACGTTTCTCGCGCCGGTAATCTTCAATCTCATATGGTGTGAAGAAAAAGGTATCTTCAGTGTCAGATGGCAAGTCTGACCATCCGGTTGGAGACAGAGACCTTGGCTGAGAGGTACTCAGACTTGTATGCTCTGGGAAGGCATCAAGCAAAAGACGAGCATCATATCTAAGCGGTTTTTGTATCAGACTGAGTGGAACAGAGGATAACGATGGAACCATATCTTCCAATCCGAAGCGGATAGAGCTTAGATCCGACGGATCCACTGAGCACTCAGATAGACATTGCATGCGCAGAGTATATGATTGCCACTTGTATTTTTTTGGGGGCGACTCGCCATAACTTAGCAATAATCGTACTACTAGGGAGACCCACCTGTCCACCCAAGTAACCTTGTCGTCCGACGCTTCGGGGAAAGAAGAATCTGAGTTGAGAAGTTGAAAATTTCTTGTGCTAGCACCCCATTGTATGAGAGCATTACCGATTTGAGGATCACTTGCATGAACACCCAAAGTTGGAAGATGCGGCGCCTCAAGAGAAAGTGCTGTTGAAAGAGACTGTGGGCCGCGGATGATAGTAGCCTCGTATGCTTGAATAGACAAAATGAAAGGATCTGGTGTAACTGTCGTCGCCGGAGCTACGAGGTTGGCCGGCGGTGCAACCTTGCGGTACTTGCGTTTATGGGACATCCCAAGCACCTCCAGTATGTTGAGCTGGAGGATTGAATTGAGCTCTCAAGGGTAAAGTGGGAGCCACAAATCAAGTAGTACGCGGCGTGAGAACCAGAAAATGAAAACAGCGCTATTTCCAATACTACTACATTCATCTGACGGTCGTGTCAAATTTCAAAGGGGCCATACAAATCGATGGATGAAAACTTAGTGACACAGTCTCCTGCTAGCAGATGTGATTCCTCCTTTCAAATATTTTTTTTCATTTTATCTTTTGACGGTCGGAGTATGCGTTCAGTAGACCACACTTTCCGCAGGTGGCTGACCCGCTGTTCCCGGCTTCCCATGCATAAGGGACACCATCCAGTCGCGACGAACTGATCTCTTTACTGCCGGTTTAGGGACTCAGACTCCTAAATATGGTGAGTCGCATGCGCTACATCCTCATTTTTAACTTCTCCCCCTCCTTCAGATACCTTTTCAGTGATACATCCACCGTTCGGACGTCTAGGCATACTAATTAGGGCATTGGTGTAGAACCTGCCCAGAAGCGCGAGTTCTACTTGTTGACCTGATGTATTCGGATGCTAAGAAGTTAGAGCGAGTCCCGCATGGGAGGATCTCGGTGCCTCGATCGAGGCCAGCCGCCCGTCATGAGCATACTCACCTTTTTCACTTCCAGGAGATGTCTACCTGTTCAGTATCATGTAAGTAATCGTTCATTCTGCGTCATGCCCTTGCGGTACCTCATGTCCCTTCAGGTGGCTCTGGCAAGCTCTCAGGGTTCTATTCTGACTATTTGGCTCTCTGACCTTACAGGAACCACATATGTTATCCTCATCGTCAGAGGCTGCTGACCCACTATTTCCGTCACACTCATGAGATAACTAATCACGCGCACTAGGGGTATCTCGAGGTTTTGATTCTGGTTGGGACTTTTACATCTATATCTGCAAGTATAAATTGCGGCGGATTTTGTTGGACAGGTAGCCGCTTCGTTACACAAGTAAAAATACTCGTTCACCTTTCATATCTCGGACCTCATAATGCATCTCTCCCTTACCCTGACGACTGCGATGGCAGCATTCGCATGCTTCGGAGAGGTCGCCTCCGTGCCCCTGGAGGAGACGCTGAGAAGCCTGACTCCGAAAGCAAGGAATGTTTTGAAGCGTGCTACCCCAGTAGCCCCCTATTTCGTTTTATACAGTGATGCGTACGTTTCCACTGAACCAACGGTGTCAGAAATTTCGGTAAGCTTTCCCTTCCTCTACTGGCGATCGATACACTAATCGTGAACTGGTACAAACATCAGGGCTTCAATGTGTTTGCATTGTCTTTCCTCTTGGCAGATGGTGCAGCAGATCAAGCTCAGGAATGGGAAGAGCTCACAGCAGCTCAACGTTCTTCGATTCTCTCTGAGTACGATGCCGCAGGTATCTCACTCATCGTGTCCTTTTTTGGGTCCACTGAGACCCCCACTTCATCGGGATACGACCCCATCAATACTGCAAATACCATGGCAGCTTGGGTTATCGAATATGGCCTCCAGGGTGTAGACATCGACTATGAAGTATGTTGCATGATGTCTGATAATGTTTGACGACAACTGATTTTCTCTAGGATTTCGCTGCATTCAACGCTGGTACTGGCGCTGCTGAGCAGTGGCTCGGCAACTTCACCACCCAGCTCCGCACCCAACTTCCGCAGGGCCAATATATATTGACTCATGCTCGTGAGTGAGATATTCAGAAAATATCATTATCAAACTAAACTTATTCGCATAGCTGTTGCACCTTGGTGAATATATAGTGGCGAATTTGATCCCTACTGACTGAAACCAAAAGGTTTACTCCTGATAGATGGGGTGGAGGAGGATACCTCTGGGTAAACTCTGTGGTCGGCGATATGATTGATTGGTACAATGTGCAGGTGCGGACGACGTCCTATCATTTTTGATTTCTTGTTCTAATTTTCTGTCATCGCAGTTTTACAACCGTGAGTCTCTTTGAAGCTTTCTCTTTGTCTCTAGTAACAACAAACAGAGGGCACGACGGAGTACACAACTTGCGATGGCCTCCTGTACAACTCCTCAACTGCTTGGCCACAATCTGCACTCTTCCAAATCGCTGATAGTGGTGTTCCTCTGGACAAGCTTGTGATCGGCAAGCCTGCTACTGCAGCACAAGCCACCAACGGGTACATCGACCCATCTCTCTTAGCATCTTGTGTTTCCTCAGCCTATGCCGATGGATGGGGTAAGTCTGTCCCATTTAGCTAGTTTTCTCTCTCTGATCATCATGGGGAATTCTAGATGGCGGTGTCATGGTTTGGGAGGTACGTGAGAATCCAAGCGATTCGCAAAGTTTCTGACCATGCAGATATTAGTATCCTTACGCTGAATCTTCATGGATCGCGACTGTGCGCGGGGACACCTGGCCAATGCCATCCACCACTGCGACACCAACAAGTACTGGTACCACACCGACGAGTACTGGTACCACAACGGCGACACCGATACCGACAGGCACCGGTAATTGCGCAGGTGTTGCTGCATGGACTGCTGCTGTGGCCGTGAGTAGATCTCTATTTTTTTCCATCCATTCAGTACTGAACCTTTACAGTATACCGGAGGTTCTGAAGTAACCTACGGGTGCGTATATTTTAAATTGCTCTCCTCCATCTACTAACCCAAAATCTAGTGGGTACCTGTGGACTGCAAGCTGGTGGACGGAGGATGACACCCCTGGAGGTAATCTGAACTTAACCCTTCCAGAAAAAAACTTGACAGCCCCACAACAGGTACCGCGGATGTCTGGGTCAACGACGGAGCTTGCACCTCTACAAGCAGTAGTACACTGACGAGCGCCAGTACTACACCGACGAGTACTAGCACCACACTGACGAGCACCAGTACCACACCAACGAGCACTAGTACCACAACGACAAGCACTAGCACGACGACGACATCGACAGGCACTGGTACTTGTGCAGGTGTTGCTGCATGGACCACTGGTGTGGCCGTTAGTATATTTCTTTTTTTCTTCCGCTCAAGACTGAACATCTATACAGTACACTGGAGGTTCTGAAGTGACCTACGGGTGCGTACTTTCTGATTTGCTCTTGTCCATCTACTAACGCATAACTTAGTGGGTACCTGTGGACCGCGAGCTACTGGTCGGAGAGTGACACCCCTGGAGGTGATTTGAACTCATTTTTTCTAGAAAAAAAATTAACAGGCCCACAACAGGTACCTCGGGTGTCTGGATTAATGACGGAGCTTGCACCTCCACAGCCACCGCCGCAGCTAAGCGTAGGGCTCTCCCACCCCCCATCGTCACAGCGCCTGCTTTATAAGGGCATCGATGGATGCCACCCCACCCTGCTCGCCTGATGCAGCAGGGGTCCCGCGATATGTGATTTAATAGATAGATATGACGACAGCGATGTATTATCTTGTACTGTTTTTACTTGCAAATTATGACGTAGTTTCTTGCGATACTCGCTATACGTAGGGCTGCACACCGTCGCCGTAATAGACGGTTTGTACGGCGACCGTCGACGGATACGGTTGCCGTACCGGCGGCTCTGCAAAGGGAGGCAGACAGGTACGGTGTACGGCCAAGCCGTACACCGTACAAACCGTCTTCCATACGGCCGTCGACAGTACCTTTACGGCTTATACGGTCGGAACAGGGTGCCGGTTTCCCCGGTAGCTTCTTGCCCTGAACCGCCATGCCCTGCACCACCAACGACAACGACAGCGACGAGTCTGATGGCTTTCTGCATGTGCTTTACACTAATGGAAGCATCACTGTCAGTATGTTTGTTACAATATTTACTGAAACTTTCCTAGTTACTACTTGTTTTTTGTATCCTGAGCTGGCCTTTCTGCCCACAATGTCCTTGCCTGCCAACGAGCCACAATTCCAGACTGTCCTCGGTCGTGGGCACCGTGTCAAAAATACTGCACACCTGACTGAGAGTATCACGGCGGAATTGGAAGGTAGTCAAGATGTTCCTGCTGCGAAGTCTAAGCCACAGAGAAGCAAGGAGTCAAAAACCACCCAGAATCGCTTTGATGGTCTTACCGTTGAGGGTGACTTGGATGATGAAGGGAGTGACTATACTAGTCCTTCAAGCTCGCAGTCAGATACTAGTACGTCAGACTGATCAAGAAAGTCATGTCATCGAAATCACAAATGAAGAGGTAAGTTTAATATGGCTCTAGAACATTATGTGTGCTCAACCTTATGCAAAACAAGATCGCTCACTTGTTACCTTCAAAAACGGTTCCGGAACACCCAAACAGGCGCAACAAGCGCAAGCGCTTGGCCAAAAGGTCGACTCGGACCACTCAGGCACCCACCAACAGTGGGTTTCAGCCGCTATCACTACAGCAGCTATACAAGATAGTCTCATTGAAGAAGATGTCGTACCTGCTGTCCTCACTGCCAAGGTATAGTCATTTGCTGTCCCATAGAGTTCATTACTTACGATATCATCAGGCTGCCAAGCAGAACCTGATATATTATTTCTATGAGGTTGTACAGCTGAATGCTGTGGGTCAGGCTGGTGACACAGGAGACAAACACTATAAGTGTTATTTGGGTAATCGAAAGGTCCTCACCATCACGCGGGCGATGAAAAGCAGTCTGAATGGTAAGTAGTATCATCACTAGCATATGTTTTGGCTAATACAATATAACTATTAGGTTTGATTGGGCATCTTAAGACACATTTTCCACCTATGTATCGGTTATACCTAGTCATGAAGTCTCGTGGGACACCTCCAACTGAAGACGAGCTCAAATTAGCACGAGGTGACAAAGTTCTCGATCCGGATGCAGCAGCAGCATACTTGATGCAACTTGAGCAAGCGTCTGCGAATATTGTTGATGCCTTCAATAAGCAAGTCAACAAAGCGTTCGGAGACTGGAGCCAAGAAAAATTCGAAGACCTGCTTGCAAAATGGCTCGTTGCATGTGATCAACCATTTGAAGAGGTTGAAAAACCAGAGTTCAAAGCATTCGTAGAGTACACTCACTGAGGTTCACTCCATATTCCTGGACGAATGGCAATCAAGCGATGTATCATGAAGATGGGTGATGAGACTATTGAAGGAATCAAAAACATGATTCGGGTAGGTTGAATCATTCAAAAAAGCATTTGCGTTTCTCATATATTAACAGGAACTCGAGGCAAAAGTAAGCCTTTCTCTCGATGCGTGGACCTCAAGCAACCAATTTGCGTTCCTTGCAATTGTCATGCATTATGTGACTCATGACTGGCAGTTGGGTATGTTCGTCCTATTATTTTGTGTACCTAGCGTCTCAATTTCAACCAGAGGAGCTTTTGATCGATTTTCGTGAAATTATTGGTGAACACAGCGGTGTAAATCTTGCTGAAGCTGTTTGGAATACACTTGAACTTTATGGGCTCAAAGATTGGGTACGAAGCAGCATGTTACACAATTTATTCACTCATTCTGATATTGTAGATCATGGGTGTTGTATGTGATAATGCTACAAACAGTGATACCCTGCTTGAATCTCTTGAAAACCGATGTGCTGCCGAAGGAATCGATTTCTCACACAAGAAAGCACGCATCCGTTGCTTACCCCATATTGTACACCTATCAGTGATGCAACTTCTTGAGGGTATCGGTGCTATCAAGCCAGATTCGAGGCGTGGAGAGTCTGCATACCAGGACTCGGTTACTGCTCCCATAGACCGCGAGTATGATGACAACACTGCTCTTCTTGACGAAGCAGAAGAGGACGATGAGCAGTTCAATGCACTGCAGGGGGTTTTGTCAGCTGTTGACAAGGTAAACAATGAGACATTTAAAATCAATGAACACATCGCTAACAAATGAATCCTTTCATCCAACAGCTTCGAAAGATCGTTCGTTCTGTTCAGTCAAGCCCACAGCGACGCAAGGCATGGCTTGCAGAGGTGACAATGTCACTCAAGAAAACAGAGAACACTCTCAATCAAGTGGCACTCATGCTTATTCTGGATGTCAAGACTCGCTGGTCTTCAACGCATCAGATGCTTCGTAAGTACAGTCTTATAATTTGTGATTGAGTGTCAATCAAATTTGCAGGCTGTGCATTGGATTTTCGAAAAGCTATCAATGACTTTGTGGCGAAGATGCATGAACTACGCCAATATGAACTTTCTGATGACGATTGGCAGTCGATCGAACTAGTAACAGGGTGGCTGAAGGCATTCCGGTCAGCTACTACTCAAATGTCGATGACCAAGCGCCCAATGCTCTCTTCGGCCCATGCTATATTTCGAGGTCTCGAGGAATCACTTCGGGATGATCTCGCAAACCTTCTGGATTCAGCGCCAGTGAAAATACGACTGGCATTGATCAATGCACATCGGAAGCTCAGCGACTACTTTTTCAAGATCGATGATTCACCATACTATGTCTGGGCATCAAGTAAGTTTTGTACTACAATTTGTATTTCTAGTTTGATAGCTAATCTAGTTCAAGTACTCGATCCCTGCATCACTTATGAAGGTCTCCGTGACGACTGCACTGCTGATGATGAAAGTACACGGTTGCAAATTGACTCGCTGAAGAACGACCTACATGCCCTATATAAAGCTGACTATATCACTACATCCGTTGCACGGGACTGCACACCATCTACCAGCATAGGCCGCCATGCAGATGTGTCAGATGGCAGAATGTCCCCATCAAAGGTGAATTTTACAGCAAGGTATAAGAAGCGGTCGAATCTGTCAGTGGACAAATTCGAGGAGTATCTGAAGCTTCCGCAAGAGGACTTTGACCTTTGCGACCCCATTCAATGGTGGGCAGGTCACCGAGCACAATTTCCGAACCTCTCTCGACTTGCGCGTGATATCCTTTCAATACCTGGTGAGTACTTACTCCATGTCCCAGGTGTCTGTACTTAGTTCTCTTCTTTGTAGGATCTGCTGTTGCTGTTGAACGAGTTTTCTCTGGTGGTCGTGACACGGTTTCACTGCGGCGCGCTAGTCTCAAGCCTGAGACTATCAGGACATTGATGCTCGTGAAGGCGAGGCTTCGTTTGGGTCGTTCGTAGTTGATTTGCATTCCGTATGTACCGTACACCGCTGTATACGTCCGTATAATTCACTGTACCGTACTGTCCACTTCGTCCACCACCAATGTCATGTACAGTGTACGGGTTAGCCGTATACCATATTTATACCATATGTATACGGCTGTCTACTGTATACGGTACGGTGTACAGCCCTAGCTATATGTATGATGATTATTTTGTTGGGCCTGTAAGGCTGGGTTCGAGACTAGAATTGATAAGTTTGAAGTTGGTGACAAAGAAGGAAGCGAAGCAGGGTCCTGGGTTGCCCGGAGGGCCGTGGTATTCTAATTTTAAATCTGGCTCAAGCTGACTTAGAGACTGCGAACATGGCTCATACATGTCATGGACCAAACCAGGCCATGAATTACATAAGCTATAAGTATGTACAATGGCTCGGCTAACTATGGCTGCGCCCATGGCTAAAGCCGGAATAAACCGGAACTGCGGCAACACTAACAACAAGTGTGGCGTTGAAGGGCCTCACCACATTGCTTGACTTGCATAAGGAAGACTGAATTCCACTCTGCAATTTCATTGGATGCGAAAATATGTAGAGGATTTGGGGTCGGAGGGCATGGTGGTCTCTCCACATGAGGATCAAATTTGGGGTCAGTTTTTACCTCAACATCTGGTAGATGATGGAAGATGATGTCTTCGAAAAACACAAAAAATTGTTTCTGATAAGCTTCGTCATGTAGCTTTGCATGGATCTCAGAAGAATTGGCTGCACCATCTAACCATAAAAGGTAGTGCCCATGCAGAGAACCACGCTCAGTATATTCAGATGATCCATAGAAAGCACATATATGACCAAAGAGACCACCTGCTGCACTAGACTTCCCAGCTTTGAAATCCCATCCCAAAAGGTATTCAAAACAACATCTCCAAGAAAACTCGAAAAAATCTGCAGCAGCAACAGGGTCATGTGCTAGGCGAAGTGCATGCTTGCGGCCAGCAATCAACCGAGGGAAATGACTGGTAAGGTCCACAGAACTGTCACCATACATTACCTGAAAAATGGGACTGTGAGCGGCACTGGGATTGAAAGTAAAAAAAAGATGTGGCAGACCAAAGTAACTGAAGTAACTCCGTATTTCATTGCGGACAAAATTTTTGGAGGCTTCAGAGCCAGGAATTCTAACTGCAATAGTATTAACATTTTTTCAGTAAACTGAATGCTATCTTCTCATCTGGACTCAACTGAGACAACATCAGGTAACTGACCTGCAGATGATAAACTCTTAGACAGCTATATCTGATTTAAAATTTGCGTAATATGTATCAAAATTATACCTCGCATGAAAAAGCTTTGCATACCTGGACTTAGTTGGATGAAACCCACCAACGGCTCAAAGGTGGCAGCCCATTTGCAATCACGTGCCAGCTTGCGACGGTATTGCAATACCTATCAACGGTGGCAAGGGATGATTGATATGTTCAGAGTGACCACTATTGCCTAGTTGAGGATCAGCGGCATTATACTACAATTCTGCTCTGCACTGGAAATAGTATGCAACCTTTGACTGTTTTTATTCCATCTGCAATCTCTGAACAGATGCCAGCATTCAATAAAATTTTATATGGCTGGACTGTGCTGGACCAACACCACCTATTGTGCAAGGGCGCCGAGTGTCTACAACACAGTACCAATCCATATCAGTGTGATGATCATTTGTAAACCAAGTTTATCATTGAATTTCCCACCAGAACTCCATTGGCGCTGACTTTAGGCAAGAGGTTGCAATGCTAGTCTGGCATCGTTCAGATCTGTCGAGCACACAATGCAGGCGACGAGCGGTAGTGTAGTACCATGTCATCCAACTTCTATGAGATATTACTACCATATGCAAAGCTAGGGAGTTATTTTGTTGTCCGTAAACTCTCCCCAAATGCCGGAGGCAGTTAAAGCTTTTCAACTTTGGATTAGAGCTACCTGTAGTTCAATATTTCGGAACAATGATAGTGCGGTGTCCCCCGTCACCTAGATGCTGAAGTATGGCCATCACATCTAAGGTGGGTGAGGCCGCATCTGTTCTCAGCAAACTCTATCTGACTCCGTCATACCTGAATGAGTGCACCAATACTAGATTGCAATGCAGACAGCTGCGAAAGGTGCCCAGGTGCTGGTCATTGGTAACGTGGTTCCTTCTACCGTCATAAAGTCAATGTCTGATCATCTCATTCAATCTCAGCCTGTAATTTTCGCTCATCCAAACACACGCAGAAATTTAGCAGCAGTTTTTGACTTGCAGATCTTGCTCGCATGGATCAATACTGTACACGAGAACACGATGCTTACAACACGACAACGACCTATAATTTAACAGCGGTATCAACTGAATTGAGCCAATGGTGTTGGGGCGTGGCTTGAGATCATTTGATTCAGCAGGTACGTTTGTTGCGAGAGCCAAAAACAGGCTGGTATTAGATTGCAATTTTATCTACTACATAGAACACGCTCAAATGAAGGCTATGAAGTGGCTACGTTCGAAATTGAGGATTGTTTCAAAGCAAGGTGTCTTTGTCGAATCTTCGACAACGCACTGTTGGCACTAATAGGGCGCTTGGCAGCCGAAGAAGTGGGAAATATTTGGCTGAGTATGTCAATATGAGCCTATCTGCAACACAATGAAGGTGATAACATACCGATTCCACCATGTCAATAGCTCGTGAACTTCCTTGGACTCTTCAGGATCTTTAAGGAGGTCAAGAAGACTGTGGTAAAAGGTCTCTGAATCTGTAGTCATATCGGTCCTTGAGAACACCGAGGAGGAGCTCAGAGCAAACCGGACCTTCAGTCATGTCAAAATTGTCTACATACAGGAGAATCGCACTCAACAAACTTGTGTTGCGATATAAGCAATGGAGGCGATAGTGACAGAGGTCATGCCATGGAGGCAGGCGTTTCCGGATCGCGTAGCTTTCGGCTCCTTCTCGACCGAACTTGGAGACGTGAACACGTGTTTGTAAGCCTGGTGGAGTACCATACAGCAGAGAAACTTTGAAAAAGATGACACCCACATAGACAAGTAAACGGCTTCTAAGAAGGCCGCTCCACGGATCTTCAGTGTTGTAAGTATAGTGGGCGTATAAAAAAATGGGCCATTGATCGCCACAGACCCATAGTTCGCCACTTCGTAGGTTCATTTTGGTCCTATCCGCAAAGTGCGAAAATAATTAGTAGACCGAGTATGCATTTAATCAGAACGTACTGTAAGTCGTTCCAATCCAATCCCAAAGTAGAAACCCTGTAAGTTCGTGATTAAATCCACGATCGACCTTCGAGTTCCTATGTAGAGGAGGCTGGATAGCTTCTCCTTTCGGAGTGATCCAATCAAGGACCGCAGACTTCAATGTTTTCGTGTCATCACCTCTGGCACCAGCAGCTCCCTTGCCGATCTATAAATCATAAGTAAGAACTCTGACCATGAAAAAAAGCGACGTACCAGTTCTCCAACGTGAAGAATCTCCTCCTCAGACCCGTTTTTTTAATCGTTCCAGAAGACCTGGATAAGATTCCAAAAGCTGCTCAAAGACATGATGTTCCCGCCGCTCTCTAACAATATGTTGACCTGCACCAAACCGGTTCGGTGCATGGATGACTAATGCTCTCCCACGAGCCCGATACCCTAGAAATCATTATGAACAATCTTCCTTTACTTTATGGTTCAGACTGCAGTTCAGATAGTATTTTCATTTCTCAGACAGACTCAGATAGGCTGAATATTCTTGTATATTTAATTTTGTGGTAAATTCTGCTTAGTCAGCAATAACAATGACTCAGACTGAATCCCACACATGTCAAGTAACAGTGTAAAATAGTTCTTGCATAAGTTGCCTTGTGGGAACTTTCTTAACACTCTAAATACACGGCTCGCGTCATTTCTACGGTCAATAAAGTAACATCATAACAAGACACCAACAAATAACATAATCAGTCTGTTACTTAATATTTGTCACATGATACTAAGTTATATGACTCTAACAGTCAGGTGACCTATGATCCTAAACCAAATCAGGACAAAGCAACCTTTTGAGATGACTAAAGCTTGATGACACAAATTATAAAGCACATGACTACAGTAAATAGTATTGGTACAATCTGACTAAGCCTATTCCCCTTAGAATGTGGGAAATAGTAACACAGCCACCATAATTTATCTATATAAGACCCCACTTTTTGCCAATAAAAATATGCATACATAGGGAACTTTTAAAGCCCCACAAAATAAATTTGAGTGTGAAGTGTGATCAGTATCAACAACAGTGACAAGAGCTGTTAAGCAATCAACTGAGAGGTCATTGTAAGCAACATCCAGCAATACCTTTAGCTCATCGTCAACAACCGTGAAATATCTTGAGCTCACTGTGCTCAACAGTGAGCAAACTTTTTCTTTGATTTTCTACTGGTGAACCTCTAGTCTCTTTCTTTTCTTTTCTTTCTTCTTTCTCTCTTTCTTTTTCTGTTTCTTTGTTTGTTTGTTTCTTTTCATTTGTCTCTTTTTCTGTTCAGTTCATTCATGTCTCAGTGTTATTGTCTGAATTTGTTTCAAGATCTTTGTGTTGTCTTTACGTCCATCTAAGCACCGGCTTAGTGAGAAGACTTCAGAAGTTGATAGTGATGCTTGACCTCACTCATCTGAGTAGTGATACTGAGCCAGGGTTTTCTTTGTCTGCTAGACTTTAGTTGTTGAATAGGGGACTTGGTACTGAAATCCAAGGACGTCCGTTCCTGATTCTGTTTAATACTCATCGTGAGTTCCTTGGCAGCAGGTTCAATAGTGAACTAAGAGTTCTACTGATCACTGATTAGTCCTGACCTTTGATTCTACCTGTTTGTGCTGAGGGGGTGATTGCTATAATTTCGCACAACTTTCTGTAGTAAATTTATTACAAGAAGCATTGTTACTGAAGGAAGGGTTTCCCTTATCAATCTATTTCTTTTTTTATCAGTACCATACTGTTGGGCTGACTTTTCTCTGTTCTCTAAACACTGCCATACCATTGGAGTGAATCAATTTCTTTTTGTCATCACCATACTGTTGGGCTGACTACATTCTGTTTATTTTATTTTCTATTGCATCCATACTGTTGGATTGACTGGTATTGCTACTGACCTCACAAGAAGTACTTTTTGTCTGAACATAGCTTGGGGAAGTGTAAACAGCCACCCACGAACAACCACGTTATCAGTCATTGGTATTTGTCTGAATCGCTGACCGTGGAGATTTTTGATTTTGTAGGTGTTTATCTATAGATCATCTATCTAAGAAGACAACGTCACAGTCAACGAGGGGATAGAAATATAAGTATTCTTTTACTCAGCAGGGAAGTTTTCCAGCGGTGTATCTTCCATTTGTTCCAATCTCAGAATACCATTGGTGAGGAGGGATGGGTAATTGCACAGCGCAAACACTGTCCGACCAAAGTGCTGTCTGTGTGAGACAAGCGGATCAGTCGTTGAGCTAATTGACAGAATGAGTGAAGCGAAACCAGTGGTGAATGTTGGAGACAGCTTACACTTTTTTTCTGGGCGCCATTTGGAGGGCTGACGAGCCGTGTCTCCTTGAAACGCTAGAAGTGGCATCATCTGCAGTCATGAGTGCTAGAGAGCAATAAAAGGTAGTCCATGTATCGCCAATCTGAAACTAGCTTTTTATTCACAGCCTACCGTAAGTGATATATATATGGAACCTACCAGAGGCAGGCGCCAGTGATGGACTGGCAGGCTGCGCCAGTGGGTGACGGATATGCACAACTGATGCCGAAAGATCGGCCTGGTCACATTTTTTTTTGGAGGAGGTTTTGAGGAGAACCGAGAGAGCGCGGTATATTATCATAAGAGATAAAAGCTTGACATGGTCCTTCTTGCTCTAGCCTCTAGCTCACCAAAATGCAACAATCCTTGGGTCCAAATTTCAAGCTGCAAGGTCATGACACTAACTTGAACTTACCGTAAGTGTCAAGTTGATGTGACTCACCGTTTGCGAACGGGATCGCTGACTTGAATGCCCTACCCTTTGTTAGGAATGAGATAGCGGGTAACACTGATGGAAGAGAGGAGGAAGTCGCCAGTCATGGTGTAAGGTTCGTCAATGCGATCATTAATCGTCTCAAAGGCTCATTATTGGCCAGTGATGTAGTTTACGACAACTGCCACCTGAATCAGACTCCCTTCCTGCTGGTAAGAGAGCATGAGACAAGCGAGGAGGAGTCGATGGCTAGCCTCAAAGAGCGACTGCAATGTGCGGAATTAGGTTGTTTGATGTTGGGAGAACTATGTCAAAAGTACAGAGTTCGTTGGTTAGAGCAAAATTACCGGGCAATGGTATTGGAAGAGTATGCACCACCTGGGATTGATACTTGTTCTCCACGTCAGATGACGTGGGATACACCTTCTCCTATCCAAAGTAAATCCGATTTGCTCTCACCTCCAATAACTTCTGATCATCCTATTCAGGCGATGTCGAAGATGAATGGGATGCAGAAACATCGTAGCAATGTGTTCCCATGGAAATCCATGGTAGCGTGGCACTGGCAGGTGAAGTGAACTTGTGAGCCCTGAGGCCTGGACAATTAGCTGCATGATAATAGATGTTGAAAAGACACAGACCTAGATTTGAATGAGACTACTAGTAATAAGTAAGGGCGACATCAAGGCAATGTAATCGTAATCAGTAGTAGAACAAATGATCCAAATTTTGGCCTCAGACCCTCCAATTAAGAGTTTAGGTATACTGTTTTACACGGTTGGTACTACTGCTAGCATTAACCAACTAGTCCATATATCAGTCATAAATATGTGTAAAGATTGAAGCCACCACTACGACCAGGTAAATGATGCCATTGCTAAACCTCGAAGGCCTCAGAGTCCTCCCGATCATTGTCTATGTCATGGTCATAGGAACACATTTCGTCTGTGAGAGGTGGTGGAATACATCGTTTGGAAGACGGCGATGCGCCTGCGTAGATATCAGTTGGTGAGTAACTCATGATCGAATCACGCCAACGAGTATCATCACGCAAGTCTGAGTCTGATTCACGGGCCTTTCCAATAGCTACTGAATAAAGGTATGTCTCAGCTTGAGCACAGCACATCTTTGCCTTCAAGGTACCCAATTCCAACCCAATGTTGCGGGGGCAAGTAGGACCAGGAAGTGGCCATGACAGTAACTCTGTCTGACAGGCTTGTTCTGCACGCAATGCACTGTAGAACACCTCTTGGACATCGTCGGTGACCCATGTGCTCAACATGGGTAATAAGGATCCGACACACTTCGAGGTAACAGTGAGAACAGACGACATGAAATTAACTGCAATACTAACATTGGAAATGGTGGATGTGTGCCCATCTCTGTGTGAAGTAGTGAATTCGAAAGCTGGATTCAGGGTAAAGCAATCCAGAAAAGAGCAAATGTTCATCGAAGGTTCCACATCTGCAAGAGGGTAGGCATCTCGTCTCTTCAACCAAGCTTCACATTTTTCACGCATAGCTGCTGAACAAGTTAAAGGTAGGCGGGAATAAGCGTGTCTCAAGGTTGAAGTAGAGCTGGTGCCATGACAAAGTGAACATGGCTTATGATGAACTGCTTGTAGCGATATGGTTCAGACTACTGAAATCATGCATCAAAGCTGGAGGAGCTCACAAATCCAGTTCTGTTGCAAATGTTCGATGGCCCGGCTATACAAAGACACTTCCATTTGACTTCGTTTCTTTCTCTCCTCCATGAGATGATGCTCCAGCACCACATGCCTTTTCCCCCTCGGCTCATCCGCACAGATACTCTGGTGCTGTCGTAGTATTTCCTCTTGCTTCGCTTCTATGGTGCGTTCCCTGATGATTTCCCAAATATCACCAGTGTAGACCCGATCTTTCAGTAAAAATGAAAGAACCCTTAAATCAGCCTGGAGCTTTACAAAACGGTCAGGAAGTGAAGTTGAATGCGAAATTATCGCTTAACTCGCCTTGTCATTTGCTATGAGTCCTATGTAAGCGTCCAGGAGTCCAATGCCTAGTAAGTTTGAAAATTTTAAAATGTCTATACAAGCAGTCGAGTCGTTGAACAGCTGCAAAGTTGAATTTGTAAGACAGGTTGACATTGTGGGGAAAAATGTAGGTAGATAATCAGGTCAGTATCCAAGCTATTTGTAGCGGAGACCAAATCCCAATGAGGTACTGGATCTTATCTTCGTTCTACATAAAGTAAATGCAAAGCTGGCGAACAACGCCAGCCAATATGATCTGGTATGAAGGAGGAATGATTACCATCAGGCCCGAGGTGATAAGTATCTGTACCAGTTGCAGAGGCCCGAAAAAATAAACTGTCTGCATACTGGGCGTCAATAGTAGCAAAAGTCAGAGAAGGAAATCCACCTGCATTGGAGGTAATTTCCACTCACATCGATTACAAGAATGGGACTGGATGACCTGAATAAGACCGCAGATTGAGCTGATCAGCTTCAAGATGTAACTGATTGTTACTACTTGCATTGTCTCTTCCGGCAAATAGTCCAACGGTCACACGCACACTCAATAGCTTTCTAACAATTCTCCTGTTTTATGATGATCAAATGCGGAGTGTACTTAATATATAACTCACCCTCTTCAAGTTCGTCCATGGGCTGTGTGTTAACGCCCAGGTATACGACCTCGACAAGGAAAACTTGAGTGTTGATTATGGTCCTTGATCACTTTCATATTACACTTCACACAGCAGAGGGAAGAGAGACGTTAGTGGCATGCTGCCGTTGATCTGCGTTGATCTGGAGTCTGGACATTATTTTGATACTTTAGGCGGTGCAGAGACCAAAGTACAGATGTTTGAACTCCGCGCTATATTTTTTCACTCCACCTAAATTTTGAAAGTCACAACATATTCGAATTCCCTGCTAGTACTGAGACTGATGATTGATTATGTAGTAATCTGAGTGGTTGAACTTGAATGTCTTCGTCCCTTCTGCACTCCTGAACAGACATGGTGGTTCATCGCCGGCCTCAGTCCTATGCATTTGCACTTTTTGCAACTTTTGAACAGGGTACGAAACTCTCCTGCACTAATTCCATCGTCAGTAGACGAGGTAAGTTTGTTTAACAAGTCCGTTTGCTCCTGTAAGGTTGTTTCATTTGGAATGCTAACAATTTCATTTACTTTGCAATCCATTAGTGAGACTGATGAAGCAGTGAAGCAAATCGTACCTCTTCGCGGGTACTGGAAGGCGGCCAAAGGCTCTTGCTGGAAGTGCGCGTTCATCTTCACTGGGTGCTAAAGGTTAGTGTGATATCTTGTTGTGCAAGAAGGCCACTGACCTTGGTATCCGCATCTATATGATGCACACTTTACTGTCCAATAAGCTGTTCTCACGCTTCTACTCCACCAAGTGCACATTGCCGCTTCAATGTATGCTTCTTTTTCTCCTCCATCTGCGCACAAGCAGCATAGATATTTAAAATTGTATTCTTGTCAGTGCTTCTCTAATCTGGATGGTGGAATCTTCTTCCCCTTGCCATCAGCTGGCCTGCGTCATTTTGCGCAAGTTATTGTTCTAAATTCGCACATTAATCAATGGACATCTCACCAGCACCATTTGACCATCAATTTTGAGGCACTGTCATAGTGCAACAGCGCGAAGCGGCAGCTCATGGCTTCTGCAATCATTTTTGCTAACTGTCGAGCATTTTCATGACAGTCAGGTGGGGCAGTGATAGTGGAGGAAGGTGAAGACAGCGGTTCCATTGGGTCACTTGGTGCAGCAAGGATGAGATCTCCCCCTACTTATACGAGGCTTCAAGTTCGGTTTTTGGGCCATGTACATAAAACATCATCACGAGCCTTTGGTGCTAGGCTATACTGGCGCCGTTGAATGTGGGAACTTGGGACTATGGATCTGATGGCGAGTCGGGCCAGATCTCGCTGGCTCAAAGCTTGTTCTGTATGGAAACGCCAGTGAGTCCCTTTATTCTGATTCTTTAACATTGAGTTCAACTATAGAATTCCTTCAGGCCTCCCCATAATGGACCAGGTAGGATTATCGTCCAGTCGAAATCCTTTCAGATGCACCTGCGCCCATGAGTTTATGCAGGAGAACATGTATACCAAACATCAATGTTCGTGCACAAAGGGCAAGAAACGTTTGTTATCTGCTTTATCTAAGGCCAAAAACCTCCTAGGCTCCGCAAAACGGGCTCGAGTTGATGAAAATGGTGGCAGACAGCCTTCTAATAATCCTTCAATGCCGTCCGCAATGTCTCCCCCCCCTGCAGCATCGTGTGCAGATTCTTCCTTGCACAACGCACCCAACTCAGTATCTGATGTCATTATCAGCCCAGCACCCATGGAGACAGACGAGGGGTCATCCCTAGCGCAATGAAGGAGTCGACATGTTGGCGTACCCATGCCACGATGCTATAGACAGCACGATGATGTACTTCCACAACCTCCTCCGACTGTTCCCTGCAATCAGACTACCCAACAACAGGAATGTAATCCACCTGCAAGTTCCACCAATGTGTCTACTGTTCGTACATGTATACGGGATCCTCCTTTCTGTACAGTGAGAAATGTGTTCGGGCTAGTACGCCAATTTTTCTCAGCAACTCCCCCATCTCATGACCCCAAAGAAGTCACAAATCTCCGAGATATCTGCTCTATTCCATCTGCTCATCCAACAGAACAGGAAGTCCCTGCTGAACCTCGCGACATCTCATTTGATCCCTACCCCAATCGGTCTTCTTTTGACCTTGGACATTGGTATTGGAATGGTAGTGCCCAGAAGTCGCATCAGAGCTTCAAGGAACTGATAGACATCATCGGAAGTCCAGATTTTGACCCTCATGATGTGTGAGCTATGCCATGGGATAAGATTAACTCGCAATTAGGTGTGAGCATTGATGAAGACGAAAGTGGCGAATGGGAGGATGCGGATGCGGGTTGGCGTAAAACACAAGTCACGATTGAAGTCCCTTTTTCTCATACCACAGCTCAGCCAAACGCTCAACCGTATGTCGCTACAGACCTTTACCATCGGTCTCTTGTTTCTGTTATTCGGGAAAAACTCGCAAATCCGCAGGACAACGAACTTTTTCATTATGAGCCTTACCAACTTCGGTGGAGCGCCAACCATCTTCCACGTGAAGTAAATATTCGGGGCAAGTTATACACTTCTCCGGCATTTATGGATGTGCACAGAAAACTTCAGGGGTCACCTGCAGAGCCAGGATGCGATTTACCCCGGGTGGTTGTCGCACTCATGTTCTGGTCCGATGCTACACACCTGACAACTTTCGGCAGCACGAAACTGTGGCCAATATATATGTATTTTGGGAATGAATCGAAGTATTGCCGGTGTAAACCATCGTGCAATCTAGGTAATCATGTGGCATACTTTCAAAAGGTAAGGTCCCAAATTACTTTCTTATCCTGTAATGAAACTGATGTCTGGCAGCTTCTGGAATCGTTCAAGGATTTCGTAGGTACTTACACCCGTGGCAAAGGAGTTGGCCGGGAATGTACAACACATTGCCACCGGGAATTATTCCAAGCTCAATGGAAGGTTTTACTCAATCCCGAGTTTTTACATGCATACGAACACGGCATTGTGATCCTCTGTTGTGACAGCATCAAACATAGGTTTTACCCGCGAATATCCACCTATTCTGCGGATTACCCTGAGAAGTGAGTCATTGACATCATTTGTTCGATTTTGCAACTTATGAAAACCAGGGTACTTGTCGCAACTATCCGGCAGCTGGGAGGTTGTCCTTGCCCACAATGTGTCATACCAACGGGACGACTTAACAATTTAGGAATGCTTTGCGATAGGCAGCAGCGTACGACTCTTGCACATTCTGATCACTCGAGGAGCCAGCTGGTTAAAACAGCACGCGGCTTCATCTACAAAAAGAATTACAGTGTTGACAGCACAGCTGTCGAGTCGCTTTTGAAGCCTGAATCATGGGTACCAACCTCTGTGAGCATGACCATCAACTTTTTGCTCGCTTTTACTAACACTTCATTAGAACACTTTTTCGGATTGCCTCGGTTCTTTTGGATTCAATGTGTTTGTCGCGCTCGTGGTGGATCTGCTGCACGAGTCTGAACTTGGAGTATGGCATATACTTTTGATACACTTGCTAAGAATTCTTTGTGCCTTCAACAAGGACCTGATCCATGAGCTTGATAAGAGGTGCACCAAATTTTTATCTTTCAGTATCACTTAATAAGCTAACAATCAATTGGTGTTGATAGGTACAGGCAGGTCCCCCCATTTGGCTCAGCGACCATCAGGAGATTCTCTGCAAACACTTCCAATATGTCCAACTTGGCTGCTCGTAACTTCGAAGACCTTTTACAAGTATGTATTCGGAAAACTCCCATGTCTTCGCCAACTAATTTTGTTTCAAGTGTTCAATCCCTGTTTTCGATGGTCTGCTTCCAGATCATCACAACAAAATTCTTATGAATCTTCTTTTTGTCATGGCCCACTGGCATGGATTGCCGAAACTTCGCATGCACTCAGACCTCACCCTAGAAATTCTCAACCAACAGACAATGGATCTTGGCGAACAATTTCGTGAGTTTAAAGCAAAAGTTTGCTCTGCATATCATACCCAAGAACTCGATCGTGAAGTTGATGCACGATCTCGTCGACAGGCAAAGGATGTGGCCAAACGGGTAGAGACAGGCAAGGTGAATAATGTCAGGCAAGTGACTGCAGCTCCACAATCTGAGCCAGGTGCCATCGGTAAAGGAAAAGGAAAAGTGAGTCCAGAGCAGTCCCAGGACATACCTGTGCCAAAGCAGCTGCAAAGGAAAAAGTCGTTTAATTTTCGAACTTACAAGTTTCACGCACTCGGAGATTACATGGCCTCCATCCGTCATTTTGGAACAACAGATTTGTACAGCACCGAACCAGTATGTCGTGGCTCGCTGCTCTTCCTTACCCTAAATTAATTTCTTATTAAGGAGAACTAGAGCATCGTACGTCAAAAGGCAGATATTGTCGTACTGATCGAAAGGCCTTCATTCGCCAGCTAACTCAGATCGAGCGTCGCCAGACGCGTTTGCACCGCATCAAGCAACAGCAACAACGAAAAGACTTTCGTACAGAGGTGAATGAAATGACGAACGACCCCGAAGTACATCATTATATCGGCCAAAGCGAGAAGAATTATGATGATATTGGTCACTACCTCCGCAGCCACGTGCATGACCCTGCTATGAAGGTAAGTGACTTCTCACTTGATAGACATTATTCTAAGCCGCGCCCCAGGACTTCTTTTCCCGATTAAAAGTCCATATTATTGATCGCCTCAATCCGGGGGACAAGTCAGCTTGTCTCAACCAAGAACACGACACCATTCTATTCAAACGTAACAGAATCTATCATCACAACATTGCCAAATTCAATTTTACTACTTACGATGTTAGGAGGGCGCAAGACATTGTCAATCCAAGGACGCCTCATTGCAACATTATGATGCTCAAACATTGTGAGGATCAAACTGATGATAATGACAATTATTGTTATGCCAAAGTCCTCGGCATCCATCATGTCAATATTGTTCGTGTGGGGAATGTATATGAATCCCACTGATTGGAATTCCTTTTTGTTCGATGGTACGAATCCGTACGCATTCACTCATGGGAGACACATACCTTGGGCCATGTTCGTTTCGTGCCCCTGGCAGATGAGAATGCATTTGGCTTTGTAGACCCGGGTGTTGTTCTTCAGGCATGCCACATAATACCGGCCTTCTCTTGTGGACAACGCGATCCCATGGAACACGGAATTTCTCCTCTTGCGAGAGATAAATACAATTAGCACGAGTTTTACGTCAACAGGTAAGTATTCCTATTCGTTTTGGGTCATATTTACTGATAATTCAACTGTCTAGCTTTGTCGATCGAGACACGCTAATGCGCTTCCACTTTGGACTTGGAGTTGGGCATGTGTACTCCCACGACACAGAAAAATACCTTCATTCGACTCAAGGGGCACCTCACCTTCCAACAACGCAAACGGGACATGGATATCCAGAAAGAGAAGAAGGCCTCTGGGACACCACCAATGGGGAAGCTCCTGACGATGGTGAGGAGGGTGAAGAGGGTGAGCATATTGCTGTCGAGGAGTTGAACCATTTTCAACAGGAGCAAAATGGAAGCACAGAGTCACTAATCGATGCTCTCGACGAAATGTTTAGTACTGACCATGCCTTTGATTATGAAAACTAGCCTAGCATACATTCGGTAATGTCATGATGGACACAAATCTGATTCTTCCTTCACAAGTCACACTCATTGCTGGCGCCTTCAGCCAGCCTCGTTAATTTATCTATTATGGTCAGTATGCTATCATCAAATCCTGGCGCATTCAGCTGGCCATCAGTAATTTCTGGTGCGTTATCAGTCATTCTGGCACTGTCAGCCACCGAATTTAATTTTGTTAAGCGCGTAATTCAATCATTTCCGATTCCTGGTGCAGCCTTGATACCGATCTGGCCCATAGTGCGACCTTCACTTCAGTCATTTTGATCTCTAGCACAACCTTACTCCATTCTGCCTAGCTATCGTGATTTACCCATCTCAAGCGTCAAGCAGTTGGCTACAATCTCTACCATGCATCTGCCTATTTAAAACCGAGGAATTTCCTCGTCAGTCCCTCAAAGTACACCACCTTTTTCCATGGATATACATCGTGAGTTGACTCAATCTCACTGATGCCCTTTTTGCTGATGTGACTTGAGGGTAATAGTACAGCCCACTGCTCCAGTTTATCTGTACACGCCTCAGTTGGGTCGTGTACTACAGGTTATACCACCACCTGTATGCCGACTTCTTATAATGCGTGTGATATCCGCTGATGCCTTTTTTCCAGAATGCCCAAGTTCGCCTCATCTATCCACCCTGTTGTTTATATCTAACTTATCATTTCAGCACCCTTTCGTTGATTTCAATGGCCCAGAACGTTTTATCCTCGGTGCTTATCTGGCCTACTGTCAGGTCTCTCCGATATATGTGAGCCATCTTCAAAATCAGTTACTTCATTTTATCGTTCTGTAGTGTCCAGATTATGTGTTGGTCAACAGTTTAGATGGTGTTCTACCCGTAGTCGGCACACTCGCTATTCCTCACCATGATGAAACACTGTTTCATACAGTATACAAAAAGCAGGTGAGAGCTACATCAAATTGGAAATAACACCCTGACAGGATGAACATAGTTTGGTGACAGTGATTTCCTTCGGGCTATTGACGCCCAGTTTTGCCGGCCAAACGGGGCAGGCATGATCATTCCAGTGTGGCAAGTGAGTTTTACCTTCATGCTAGTGTGCAGTGTTCTGTAGGCTGATTTTCATTTCCATAGCTCAGCAAGTTGATTCACTGACAAACATTCTGGGCAGTTTTCCAGTACCATCGAGAATAGACTGTCAGATATGCATAAGGTAGTCCGGGGATGCATCAGACTCGACGACTTCTCTGGTGGTGGTACGGTTCAAGAACAGGAGGCGAGGATCAAAGCATTATTTGATTCTTTTAACCCAAGTGACCAACAGGATGTAAGTGGCAAGGCCGATGTGATATCATCATGACTTATGGTGACCTAGATCGAACAAGCTATTGCTGAACTTGTGGAACTGCATATGTTCAGGGAACTCATGTGGATGGCAACGTTCCAAACTGTGATCAGCTTGGCTGAGGGTACCCGCGATGGCAGGGTCGCTGACCTTTTTCCTCAAGAAGTTCGAGGGGAGAACTTGGCATTAGCAAAATGTTTTGCTGCGACTTTGCTAACCATAGTAAGTGTTTCTTAGTTGTTGCTTGTAGTGGTGAAGTCATCGCTGTATCAGATTTACCATACGTTTCATCTTGGGCAACCCCTGAAGACCCGTGGCCGCAAACCGGGTGCTGTGTATTGTATCATCCTAACTGCCATTACGCATATGTATGCGAACCTGAAGCAGTATCCCACATTTATGAAGACAATGGTTGGGTTGACATTCCTAAGGTCAGTGTTCTTTTCATGATCTCTGCATTGGTTTTTGATGCATATCGACATTCAGGGCTCCGAATGTGTTGCCCATGGACCCCAAGATCCAAGCCCCTAAAGTGTCCGCGTATGAGAAACGAGCAAGAACTGTAGCAGATTGTAGTCCCATCAAGCAGGTGGAGGTCAATTTACCTGATCTTCCCTATGCAGAGTTCACATCCATCCGTTATGCGAGGACGACGGAGATAGTCGACAATAGATGCTTCCTCTGACTTTGGGAATGTTGATCGGTTCGCATAGGTGTATGATACTCCCGTTCATTTGTCGCACGAGATGTAGGATATGTACTAATTACTCGCACGCTAAGCAATGTATGATCGTCATCGATGTATTCGACAACGTGCTATTCAGTGCACCGCTGAGATGAGCTGTGACGATCACACTTGATCATAGGGGGCTTGATGGACTCGAGCACCACTTTGTTTGATAGCATCTATCAGTGCACTGCCATGTCATGTTATTGGATATAGTGGTACACCAGATATTATCTACATTCAAGGTATGAATCCCAGTGAGGATCGACAAAAAAGAAATAGATATATGTAAATAGAGAACAAAAAATTAGCCGCATGAAATCTGTTTGGTCTGTTTTGACGTCTTTAGCGAAATGAGAATTTGAGACAAGAGGTCGAGAGGAAATTAATGCTATCAGTGCAAGAGAGTGCGTAATTTGGTAACAGGAAGAGGGTGCAGTGGGCCGAGGAAAGCTGCGGCACACCACATGCACAGGTGTACAGGGCGGTCGCGGCATGTGGGAGAGGCACAAGAGACAGAAGTGCTGAGCCTCACAGGTATCTACTTCGAATACTGTTATGCATCAGTAAGAAGTTGCTAGTAGTGGACGATACGAACCTTTTCGAAACTTGACTTGCCCAAACAAATGTGACCAAGAATGGCAGCACGAGACGTAAGAGTGACTATGAGAATGACATCGTAGAGCTGCTGGGCAGGTTGCTTGAAGAAGGCCTCGAGTTTACTAGGGTAAGGGCATGAGATGATGTAGAATATGGAGGACTCAAGTACTTGCAGTCGGACATGAAGCATCAAAAGACAGCGGAAGGTTGGATATGGGATAGTTGGCATGAGCGATAGCAAAATAAAGTGGGCACTGGAGGGTGCAGTTAGGTGAAAGGAGAGTTCTGTGGAGGCTGTAAGCTAGGGCACTGGCAGGTTCTTGAGGGCGTAGTCAGGCGAAGAGGAGAGATTCAGAGCCCAGAAATAAGGGGAAAATGGAGTAATGCACCAAGTAAGACAGAAGTATCCCAAAACACCACCTTCTCCTGGATGAAGTTGCTCAGGATGTCCCAACATACCGGGCTAAGGATGATTGCACCAAGTAGAATGATGACTAGCAATTTTGAGATGACGGTCGACGTCGTCCAACTAATTTCTCACACAGCCTAATTAGGCAAATATCGAATTGTTTATCTTTATTTGCCACAGCGTTATAAGATCTGATTACGACAACTCAACAAACTCAACTACTTTGGGCGATCTTAAGGTACCACGCCCCTGAATCAATTCTGCCGATCCCCCGCACATCATACAAACATATAAATGGCTCGCGTACCACATACAGGTGCTCATGGACCGTTGCTAGTGAAAGACGGAAAAGTAGTGGTAAGTAACGTAAAATTGTATGACCGCCTCCAAGTAAGTGACAGATACGCATCAGACAGAAGTAGATAAGTGGTTGAATTCGGTAAGACCGCGTAGCATAATGCTTCCGGCGGCTTACTCAAATTATGCAGCAGTTTACCCAATCGGTCATTACGCAGCCATCCCGCCGTCATCTGCATCAGGCTGCAGTAGTTGAAAAGCTCCGTGCAGCGGCAAATACAGTGAAGTCAACACTTCGGGTAAGCGCATGTCTTCATTTGAAATGTTGAGCATCCAGCAACTTTTTTTTAGCTATAGCCGATTGGATCTTCAAAGCTTCGCCAGACGGACTCACTGACTCGGCCCATCTGTACTACCATCTTCGCCAGTCATTACTGATGGACTGACTGACTCGGCCAATCTGTACCATCTTCGCCAATCATCACATGTACCATATCATTTACGAGCTACAACTAGAACTACCATTTGCTTTGCTTTGCAGCTTTATACCCAGTACTACTTCTGTGCTAAATATAGAACACATCATCCGATATCCAGTAACTAGTAGTACAATGCTCATCTAATTTTCCTTCTGGTGACGCATCTGCACTTGTTCTACAGTGTTATCTTGTATTAGTGTTATATACTGTTATCATGACTAAATTAGTCAAATCAGCATTGCAGCGTGTTTGCTAATTATATACATGGTTCACATTCAGGGTTGTTCCTAGCGGGGCTATTATAATAAAATGGTGTGAATATAAAATAAAAAATCACATCGTGTGAACCACGTTGACAAGTCAAATCATGGCCACGACGGTACGTTCAGCTTTGAAGCTTGAAGACTTGTACCTCATGCAAGCCCCCACAATCAACCAGCAGATAGAGTTGCAGGAGCACAGCGTCCCTGTCTGGCCCACACAGCTCTGGCGATACACCCAGATAACAATGCCATGAGTGTATATCATTACTAGGATGAATTTATCGGGTACTGACTTGGGCTTTATTCGGTAGGGACGTCATTCCACATCACAACTATAATGTCGAGGCCATGCAGACTGATTGGGCTCAGTTCGTGACTTCCATTTAGCACAATATCAACTTAACCGTGGTTTTGACAGGTCTCAAACACGCGGTGATTGGGAAGAGTTGGACCATCTATCAGGAGCTATATACCACTATAATGCGAAAACGGTGAGTGCAGCTGGTATTCCGAGTTATATATTTTGATGGGAATACAGGAAACATACGCGGAAATCAACATGAGGGAATTTTCAGATGCACAGCTCCAGAGACTTGAGTCGTGGATCAAGGCATCAAGATCCAAACTAAACGGCAGGAAATGGTTGCTAGTAGTCGAGCCGCTCCGAATGAGAGGAATAGACATCTATACATACTACTATGTGGTCCCGGAGAGAAGGATCATTGCCTGGCTAGAACCGGTGGATGGCTATATTCTTTTCCAGGAATGTACGACGGCGCGGCACTGGAAACATATAAGTATGTCAATTTTTTCGTTGTTTTTGTTATTGAACTTGTTTTGGACAGGACTCGAACTGGAAGCTCAATACTGGTGAGCTAAAGGCCACCATTCTGATGGAAGCAAATGTTTCTAATTGCACCAGGAAACACATTGAGTACTTCCCCCACAGGACCGACATACCTCTCCAGGATGTCAGGACTTTGCGCATTAAGTTGAATTGGTATCGCGTGGGTGAGTCCTTCGGTATTATAGTGTCTGACCAAGACAAACCTAAGGAATAAACAGAAGCATCCACCATGGAACACTCAATGGCGGCTTCGATATTTTGGAAACCCGACGAAATGAAGGAAATGACCGCTGAGCTGGCCGCTGTAGGCACGCACGCTAATCTCAAGCTACATCTTCAAGTTGACGACCCAAACAGAGGACTTTGCAAGACATGATGGAGCTATGGATGGAACATGTACCGTCATCTATGGTACGTGAGCCTTGGAAGGACTGGAAATATAAATTTATCTTGAACAGGCAGATTAGCGTATATTCTCCGTACGATGCTATTTCTCATACCAGACATTTCCTGATCGAATATTCAAAGGCCATCACGAATACCTAAATCACCATGGCCAACCCGAAGCGCACTTGATGTGAATGCACTCGGTGACCGGGAAACGTGGGCCCCTCAAAAAGTCTCCCTTCCTGACTGGCGCTGCAGTCGCTATGTTTTGGATTCCATTCATAATGCTAGACCGTCTTAAACATGTTTATGTCGATGGCCTCGTAAATGGGGTGGACATCAGGAGATTTACTGATGATTTCAGCACCCAGGCCAAAGCTCAAACTACCGTGGTGAGTGCTACATCGTGACCTAATTGAGAACACTTACTATTCATCTGACAGGCAAGTGTCATTATGGCGGTCAACGCCAGCATCCTTGCAGTTCCAGGTTTAGGCACACAACTGGCTACGAAGGTGTTGTGTTCCATCTCTTTCGTTCTCTGTGTCTATTGCATCGTTGGGTGCACGATTGCACAACAATTGGTTCAGAGATTGAGATACCTTGACTTTTCAGTGCGATCAGCTTCATTTTTTTTGTTTGCAGCCTGGTCTGACAATACTGATTGGATAGGCATATTACTTACAAGAGGAGATGGGCACTTTTGCGATCCTTGCAAGTATACCGATGTTCACATTTCTGATGAGGTGAAATAAGGTATTCATCGTGATGAGTCATTACTTACAGACACACTACAGTTTGGCATTTGCCATCATTGGAGTTCTAGCAGGGATCTTCACCGTTGAATTTGGCCTTCCCTTGTCCGCAAGGATCGGATGTGGGCTGATCCTCATTGTTGGGGGAGGGCTCGTGATTCCATTGACGATGGCCAGCTTTGGGCCTGGACTGATTCGATGATGGGGTTCAATACCCTTGTGCACCACATAATAAACACTACTATGTTGCTACTATGTAGTCTGATATTGGTCCAATATACATGAGTGCCTCAGCTTCCACGTGACACTGTTTGAGCTTGTGTGTGAACTTGAAGTTGTCGCCATGGAACGTGAGTGCACACTGGATATGACTGCTCAACTGTCTGCCAAAGCTCTGGTTCCTCACTGATGTGACCAGTGAATCTCATCAAGATTCGGTTGAACATACACGATACAGGACGATTGATTTACTATCCACAGTAGCATGGCAGGTAAGTCGCCCTTAGCGGATTCATATTGAATTTACGTGTCGACCTGTCCACCAGAACCAAATTTCACATCAAACCTCATTCTCATGCGCGGATAGTACCAAATGTCAAGCTCTCCCTAGATCCGTATCAGGGTCTACTACTTGCGGTACCGGGTTTGAAGTGGACTCGTCCTGGAGGATAGAAGGCAGCCCGTGTGCTATGTTATGAATGCGTGTGCAGACGCTAGTTCTCTTCCGTGAGTTTAGTCATGGATCTTTAACATTCTACAAGGATTCAATGCCCTATGATAGTCAAAGTATGAAGCAATGATTTCAGTCCTTTCTTGTATCCTGATTATTTGAACAGAAACACCAGTTCTCCATACCAGGGAACACTACCATCCTTATGGCCACGTTTTACCTGACATCTGTCCTCATTCATGCATTGTGTGCTTTTACATGTTGATGGCTGGTCAGCCGGTGGTCAGCCGATATTATGACTCTAGAGAGCGAAAAAGGATTTGCATAGAGGTACGTATACAGCAATCCTTGCCCTCTGATTGGTCTCGTAACTATACTTATCCATGGCGGTAGCCTCGCAAAGAATTCATACGTGCATCCGGGATCCACGTACTCATCAGTTTGAAGGAAGCAGTGAAGACACTCAGACAACGTCACTTCCATATATCTTCATCCCACTTCGCCTCCCCTTTCATCCCTAGATGTCACGGTTGGTAGCTTCTTAGAGTATCATCATTTGTTTCGCTGATTTAAGTTGAGCAGGACCCTCCAGCTCGCACTGTCCTTGGAATGCTGCTTGTGGAGAGATCCAACATTTGAGCCGCTGGTAGGCTCGCTATAACTATGTCACCCTGCGTCACTATTTCGTTGTTCCCATATGGGAACCCAATACATGTGAGTGACCTCGTTTCCATTGCGAGCGATCACTGATCAGACTGCAGTTGCCGTCAAATATGCATTGCTGATTGTCAAGTGCCTCTGGTATGACAGACTGCTACAGTCCACGGCCCTATTTGTTCCGAGCGATCTCTCATCCAGTTTAGACTGGGCAGTCATGGTCGCAAATGAGGTGCCAGCGGCGACTTGTTTGACCTTCATCTCACTTACGAGTTGTGATGCCAGTTACTGTGTAGAGAACCTCACACAATCCACTCGTGTACGTTCCTCTTCGCTGGCCCTTAGTTCTAAAGAAGCATTGATGTTGGCAGACTCGCTATGGGACGTGAATACTTCTACGTACTTCTCGCTCCTATGTAGCTTCGACAGCTGGAGGAGAAACATGAAATGTTGAACCTCATTGAGTCATCCGTTTTTCCTGACCTCAGAAGCCAATCCTTCCATTCCGGTAAACAGCTCACACTAGTCACGCATCATCACGAAGGAGATCATGTGATCAAGGCTCCCGATGGCACCACACTAGAGCATTTCCTATCCTAGGTACAACGTCGTGGACCACCTGTATTGCTAAGCCCTCTTCTGACTGCAGAGCGTGTTACTGCTGTAGTACAAGGTACGCAGTATACATCAATGATGTCACCTATCTGATTGTTTTGTTTTGAAGGTAATAAACTACTCACCAACTTGGTAAATTGTGCAAGATGCAGACTCTTGGTAGATGAGTGCTATTGGATGCGCAACCTTCAGTGAGTTTTTTTGACAGACTTGCTGCTTGCACGTCCCGGCTCGCTCATTAGACATTAAATAGATGGGCAGATTACCTGGCACGTAATAACCCATGATACATCCCACGTGTCTTCGCAGACTGAAACCCTTACTGTTTGCGCACTGCTCAAGCTTGTTCTTTGTCCATGATGGGGAGCTCTCGTAGAACCATGTCACCATACTTATTCTTTCCCACACTTTCTTTATTCATATATATTCATTTAACGGCTCGATTATATGAAAGTTGTACAATTTATTAATGACCACATGCTGTAAATATTTTGAGGGTGTTATAACTTTTGTTGAGTACTTCCTGCATGGGTCATGACGATTGGCAATGACCTTTACTATATAAATATGAGGAAATGTTGTAAACCATGACTTGTGACTCCTTAGCACTGCAAGTGTTCATCATGCAGGCAAGCTCAGACAAAGGTGACCGCTATATTGGAGAGATGCCATACTTCCTTCAATAGTTTATCTATGAGGTATCACAGTTGTGAGACATATATATTTTCATCAGAATTATGATTTTCTTGCAACTTCCTGTAAACCATGATTTGTAATTCCTTGGCATTGCAGCTATTCATCATGCAGGCAAGCTCAGACAAAAGGTGACCACTATATTGGAGAGATGCCATACTTCCTTCAATAGTTTATCTATGAGGTATCACAGTTGTGAGACATATATTTTTTCATCAGAATTATGGTTTTTTTGCAATTTTCTGTCAATTGATACTGTCATGCTAACGCGCATGCATGACTTTGCCTTTCTATATAATTTGTGTATATTTGATTTGATCTTATCAGAAATCTCTATAAAAATCATGTCCAGCCCAAATTCCTGATGAATTTATGTTCTCGTTCCAAACGCCAAGCAAGACTGTCGAGGACACCAGGCGATATCTGCGTGAGTTTCCTTGCTACAGAATCGAAGTGAGTCTTGCGAACAGTGAAAAATGTATGTAGATGGGCGGCACGCCGTTGAATCATGTTCAAAGCAACAAACAGAAAGGAATGATGATAACGAAAGGATCGATCTGCCAAATTCAAATAATACTGTGCCTGCTGCTGGAAGGACAGTGCGGTGAACCTCAGTTCATCCTCGAAGCCTCCAATACCACAAGGAAAAAGGGTGGGGTACATTCCTAGGAGAAGACTGGGATTATTGTATTCATTGATTGCTTGAGACCCGCGATGAATGATGAGGTCAGGCTGCGAGCCAGAGTGCGAGTACAAGTTCCTGAGGGCCGCGGCAGTAAAAGTGCGCCCGCTAATCTTATCACTCTCAGGATCTGAGACACCCATTCTTTCTAGCATGACCACGGGCGTATCATCAGTGTGGTCATCCATGACTGACAGCTTCTCACCGTCACTGTGATACAAAAGATTCGCAGGATGGACTGAAAACCCAGCTGTTTCCTGCTGAAATACGGTGTTCGGGTCGAGTTTGTGATCCTCAACCACACGGTCAGACAAGCCAGGAAGAACATCATCTTCAGGATACAAAGATAAGGCATCTAAGTCGAGTGTTACGATGGAATACAACCTGTTGTGATGCTTGAGCCACAAAAGGAATTGCCAAATCATGTGCTTGCGAACGCGGAACACCGTGCCCGCTTTAGCAGGGTCAAATTTGCCAGGTCCTACAAATATGACACTTAACAGACCATTAACATCCGCAGGCGTACGAGGAAGGACCAACGCAGTGGAAACAACATTCATATCATGGGCGCATGTATTGCCATGAAACACTCTGGGTTGAGATGGATCCGAAGACTGGAACAATCGTGCGACGTGTGCGGTGACACAATAGATAGCACAAATCTTCTCCTCCACCCAGGTTAATCCATGAAAACGGGATGGCAGTTCACCACGGTAGAGATTATTAGCCAGTGCGAAACGTGGGATGCAGCTAAGTTTCGACAGGGAGACATGGCACGCTGAACAGATACTGATACGAGGTACAGCAGAGTCATCCACAAAAACACCTGCTTTTTCAAGCATGAGGCCATCAACGAGCGGTGAGCCGAAACAAAATGACGCAGACAGCGGCTGAATGACGCACTTAGTAATGATGAAGGGGTCACGAATACGAAGGCTTTCCAGATTCAATGCAGAAGCTTCTTCAGCCGAAATGACGACGAGCCGACAGTCATGCTGATACTGTGCACAAACAGCACACACCGGAGGTTGCGTCCAAACGGATCCTTCACGATATTGACGGAGACACGACATAACAGTTTCCTTAGGAACACAAACAGGCCACTGTTGTTGGTGTTCCAAGGACATCTGGGCCTGTTCGCGAACATGCAACTGTTTAAGTTCACGACGCTTCGACCTGAGCCGCTCAGGAATAGAAAGTATCTCTTGGGATAGCCTATGAATGACCGAAAGACCATACTCAAACTCAAGGATGCTGAGAAGATAGTGAGAGTCTGTTGAGATTGATAACTGCATGAACGGAAAATAAGCAAGTCATACATCACTCAAAAGACGAGGGCCCATCGCCTGCAGAGACAAAGCACGTGCACAGATGTGGACGACCAAGCCATTAGACATTTTAGTGCGGGAGCGACTATTCAATGCAGGACGGCCAATGGATGGCAGCCTGCGAATTGAATCTGACAAGGTGTCAACTGCAACCATCGCACAAGTTCTTCAGTTGAAAGTGACAGCCATGGAATCTGAGAAGGAGGGGAACACTGAACTGCATAAATCACAGGAAGAGGGTGGCGTAAACCATCAGCCACGCACCAAATATATTCACGAAATGTGCAAGGACAAAATTTCGCAGGCACGCGTTTGCAGAAGATTCGACGTTTGTTGCAATCAAGAACCCTCTTGGAAGTCGGGGATAAACTGGTCAGCGCTTCAGCAATAAGATCCCCATAGAGATTTAAAGAGTAAACGGCATCTCCCTTTGTAGGAAGGGCCTTGCGTTATGGTGCTACTGATACTACGCCCCAATGGGAAGCCGTCGGGGGAAGAATGCTGGGCAGACGTCATAGTAGGAAATAGGGATACAATGGTTTAGAAGCGCACCAGACCCGCGTATAAAGCACAGTAATGGAGCGCAGAGGTTGACAGGCGGCGTGATAACAAAGATAGGTCAAACCACAAGTCTTCATGAATCATGGCATGGACCACAGATCAGAAATAGAAGTGCCGCATGTTTGTCAGCAAGGTGGGGAACGATTCAACGAGCGCTATAGCTATGCTGCTAATCTGCGCGAGACCACTATGAGCAAGCAGTGAGAAATACGGAAGCAGACGACAGAGTGGAAAAGACATGTAAATAAGACAGTGACGAGTGAAGAAAAGAGCCAGGAAATGCAGGAGAAAGACGAGTATATGAATACCATCGCAGACGGCTTCGCCGGATCCCTTCGTCTAGTCCTGCGCTCTGCAACCGTCCCATGTCGGCCTTGTACTCGTCCCGTTGCGCAGATGTGAGTGAATTGTCGTCGCCGGAGCTACGAGGTTGGCCGATGGTGCAACCTTGCGGTACTTGCGTTTATGGGACATCCCAAGCACCTCCAGTATGTTGAGCTGGAGGATTGAATAGAGCTCTCAAGGGTAAAGTGGGAGCCAGTGCCACGGATCAAGTTGTACGCGGCGTGGGAACTAACAACGGTTACCACTTTTTTTACTACTAATACTATTTCAGTACTAACACCAGCTCAATACTACTACGTTCATCGTTGACGGTCGTGTCAGATTTAAAACAGATCGATGAATGAAAACTTACTGACACAGTCTACTGCTAGCAAATGTTATCCTTCCTTTCAAATAGTTGAAATGTTTGAAGGGAGGACTCAGAAACATTTCATTTCATCTTTTGACGGCCGGAGTACGCGTTCAGTAGACTACACTTTCCACAGGTTGCTGACCCGCTGTTCCCGGCTTCCCATGCATAAGAGACACCATCCAGTCGCGACGAACTGATCTCTTTACTGCCGGTTTAGGAACTCAGACTCCTAAATATGGTGAGTCGCATGCGCTACATCTTCATTTTTAACTTCTCCCCCTCCTTCAGATATCTTTTCAATGATACGTCCACCGTTCGGGTGTCTAGGCATACTAATTAGGGCATTGGGGTAGAATTTTCCCAGCAGCGCGAGTTCTACTCGTGCTCACTTGGCGAGTCCCGCATGGGAGGATCTCGGTGCCTCGATCGAGGCCAGCCGCCAGTCATGACCACACTCACCTTTGTCACTTCCAGGAGATGCCTACCTATTCGGTATCATGTAAGTAATCGTTCATTCTGCGTCATGTCCTTGCGGTACCTCATGTCTCTTCAGGGAGCTCTAACAAGCTCTCAGGGTTCTATTCTAACTATTTGGCTCTCTGATCTTACAGAAACCACATATGTTATCCTCATCGTCAGAAGCTGCTGACCCACTATTTCCGTCACACTCATGAGATAGCTCATCACGCGCACTAGGTATCTCGATGTTTGATTCTGGTTGGGACTTTTACATCTTTATCTGCAGGTATAAATCGCGGCGGATTATGCTGTAGATGCTTCACTGCACAAGTTCAAACCCTCGTTCACCTTTCATATCTCGGACCTCATAATGCATCTCTCCCTTACCCTGACGACTGCGATGGCAGCATTTGCATGCTTCGGAGAGGTCGCCTCCGTGCCCCTTGAGGAGACGCTGAGAAGCCTGACTCCGAAAGCAAGGAACGTTTTGAAGCGTGCGACCCCAGTAGCCCCCTATTTCGTTTTATACAGTGATGCGTACGTTTCCACTGAACCAACGGTGTCAGAAATTTCGGTAAGCTTTCCCTTCATCTACTTGCGGTCGATACACTAATCGTGAACTGGTACAAACATCAGGGCTTCAATGTGTTTGCATTGTCTTTCCTCGTGGAATATGGTGCAGCAGATCAAGCTCAGGAATGGGAAGAGCTCACAGCAGCTCAACGTTCTTCGATTCTCTCTGAGTACGATGCCGCAGGTATCTCACTCATCGTGTCCCTTTTTGGGTCCACTGAGACCCCTACTTCATCGGGATACGACCCCATCGATACTGCAAATACCATGGCAGCTTGGGTTATTGAATATGGCCTCCAGGGTGTAGACATCGACTATGAAGTATGTTGCATGATGTCTGATAATGTTTGACGAAAACTTATTTTCCTTAGGATTTCGCTGCATTCAACGCTGGTACTGGCGCTGCTGAGCAGTGGCTCGGCAACTTCACTACCCAGCTCCGCACCCAGCTTCCGCAGGGCCAATATATATTGACTCATGCTCGTGAGTGAGATATTCAGAAAATAACATCATCACGCTAAACTTATTCGCACAGCTGTTGCACCTTGGTGAATATATAGTGGCTAATTTGATCCCTACTGACTGAAATCAAAAGGTTTACTCCTGATAGATGGGGTGGAGGAGGATACCTCTGGGTAAACTCTGTGGTCGGCGATATGATTGATTGGTACAATGTGCAGGTGCGGACGACGTCCTATCATTTTTAATTTCTTGTTCTGATTTTCTGTCATCGCAGTTTTACAACCGTGAGTCTCTTTGAAGCGTTCCCTTCGTCTCTAGTAACAACAAACAGAGGGCACGACGGAGTACACGACTTGCGATGGCCTCCTGTACAACTCCTCGACTGCTTGGCCACAATCTGCACTCTTCCAAATCGCTGATAGTGGTGTTCCTCTTGACAAGCTTGTGATCGGCAAGCCTGCTACTGCAGCACAAGCCACCAACGGGTACATCGACCCATCTCTCTTAGCATCTTGTGTTTCCTCAGCCTATGCCGATGGATGGAGTAAGTCTGTCCCATTTAGCTAGTTTTCTCTCTCTGATCATCATGGGGAATTCTAGATGGCGGTGTCATGGTTTGGGAGGTACGTGAGAATCCAAGCGATTCGCAAAGTTTCTGAGCATGCCGATATTAGTATCCTTACGCTAATGCTTCATGGATCGCGACTGTGCGCGGGGACACCTGGCCAATGCCATCCACCACTGCGACACCGACAAGTACTGGTACTACACCGACGAGCACCAGTACCACACCGACTAGCACTAGTACCACAACGACAAGCACTAGCCCGACGACGACGACATCGACAGGCACCGGTACTTGTGCAGGTGTTGCTGCATGGACCACTGGTGTGGCCGTTAGTAGATTTCTTTTTTTTTCTTCCGCTCAAGACTGAACCTCTATACAGTATACCGGAGGTTCTGAAGTGACCTACGAGTGCGTATTTTCTGATTTGCTCTTATCCATCTACTAACGCATAACTTAGTGGGTACCTGTGGACCGCGAGCTACTGGTCGGAAAATGACACCCCTGGAGGTGATTTGAACTCATTTTTTCTAGACAAAGTTTTAACAGTCCCACAATAGGTACCTCGGGTGTCTGGGTTAATGACGGAGCTTGCACCTCCACAGCCACCGCCGCAGCTAAGCGTAGGGCTCTCCCACCCCCCATCGTCACAGCGCCTGCTTTGTAAGGGCATTGATGGGTCCCACCCCGCCCTACTCACCTGATGCAGCGTGGGTCCTGCAACATGTGATGTAATGATATAATGAGATATGACGATAGCCACGTATTATTATTGTTTTCTTGTACTGTTTTTACTTGCAAATTATGACGTAGTTTCTTGCGATACTCGCTATACTTATGATGATTATTTGTGTTCGTGATTTGATCGGCTAGGCACTCAACGAGGCAACCACACCAAACACAAAGCTGCATGTCTTTGGGACCTAGGGATCAAGTGGCAACAGCATATATACGAGTGCCTATTGTTCAGTCTTAATGTAATGAATCGAGCCCACCATTAGAGCGTCCTGAATTCTAATATTATCAATATAAGATCGCCATGCATTGTTCCTTTCCCCAACGGCGTAACCTTCAGCCTGCGCCAGTGGTTTGCTGATCTCAAAAGTTTCACGTCTGAATTAAGCGCACCGCCGACATAGCCTATTGTGTACACATGCTCGGTGTTTACACATATCGTTGTGACAACGTCAAATAAACTGGTCAGCAATAAGATCCCTATAGAAATTTAAAGAGTAAACGGCATCTCCCTTTGTGGGAAGGTCTTTGCGTGATGGTGCTACTGATACGCCCCGATGAGAAGCTGTCGGGGGCAGAATGCTGCACAGACGTCATAGCAGGAAATAGGGATACAATGGTTTAGAAGCGCACCATGCCCATGTATGGAGCACACTAATGGAGCGCAAAGGTTAACAGGCGGTGAGGTGATAGCAAAGATAGGTCAGACCACAAGTCTTCATGGTATGGACCACAGATCAGAAATAGAAGCGCCGCATGCATGTCAGCAAGGTATGATAATTGGGGAACGATCCAGCAAGCGCTCAGGCTATAGCTAATCTGCGTGAGAACACTATGAGTATATTGTCGATAACAGAGTGGAATCACAGGATAATAGAACTTGAAGGAACGACGATGTTCAGTCGTCTAAGTGCCTATAAAGACTAGTAGGGAAATCGGTCGCATTAGGGTTGGTGTCATCAACGGAACAAAGCATGACATACCTCGATAATTCCGAGTCCTTCGAGCGTTCACCTTTGTCTCAATATTAATGGGAATTTGGCAGTCACGGTGAGAAAGGACGTGTGCAGGAACTTGAAATTTCTGCACAGCTTGGCAAAGGACCTTTGGAAGACATTCAAACGGCTGTCTTCCTTCCTCTATAAGTCTGGATAAAGGTCGACATCGAACATTAGCAGATAAAAAAAAGATAAAATTATGATCTGACCCTGGCTCGAACAGGAGACCTTCTGTGTGTTAGACAGATGCGATAACCAACTACGCCATCAGACCGCGATGATGTTGATTCCCACACCACCATTTTGGTCTCAGCGACGGATTGTGACTCCGACTCAATCGGACAACCATTGAACTACTACAGTCTTTTCCCTGCAGACTCCAGAGGGTGTAGCGTGGAGCTGGTATGTTAATGGAGGGGCTTTGCCCTTCTCACTACTTAGAACATGACTGCGTGTCCCTGTGTCACGGTGCACTACAGGACTCTTTCATGCTATTTGATGAGTTTTTCCTTCGACACGATTGATCATGTTGAAATCAAAACTCACCAAAACATCACCGTGACCCTCCACAGGCTGTAACGTCATCCCAATCTTTTGACAGCTAGTATCCCTTTCGAGATCCACCGCGACCCACTCAGCAAGTCAGTCTGCGTCACCATGCAACAACACCAGCACTTCTACTTTGCACATTGGCACAAATTCTAGGCACGCACTGATTATCAATGACTCGTAGGTTCTGGTATAATCGTGCAACCTAACGGATTTAGTTATGCAACAGACAGCATGACGCGAACCTTATCTGCATCGCGATGTTGAAGACATAAATTTCAGCGCAAGGCCAACACCTACTTTCATATGGATGAGTCGCAGACCAGGTAAATGAGCACAGTTCCCCCAGCTTGCACGCTTGGGCGCTTGAGCCTTGGGCTGATATAGTACCTCCAGATAACAAGCTTATTTTAGGTCGTGCCCCTTGCTCCTGCGTTATTCCGTTTAGCACACGTCTGGCCTACCACTGGCTCAATGGTGCCTGCTAATGTCTGTTTCGGGTTATTAATCAGTTGATTCTACAGGTAGTATGAAAGGTGCCAACAACGGTCTTGGGGATTTATGTAGGTCTTAAAATTAAGAACACGCCAGGGGCCGGCGCTGACATTTGAAACTAGAAGTTCTACTGTATACGGGAGACAAGGTATAATGCGACATCTCAACATAGTACAAAAGCGGCAACGATGATTGGTAATAAAAGTACAAGTGTCCTTGCCTGAAGTACAGCTGCGAATCTGTAGAGGCCAACGCTGGAGTGCACATGCTGTACCAGCGTTCAATTTTTCGCGTTATCCCTGTCTGGTCCGTATTGCGCAGTCTTCAACACCCCATATACTGTCTCCTGTTCGTCAGGTTGCACCAACCTCGTTAAGCCCGATTTCACCCGGCCTCTCTGAATATCGCTACCTATGCCGAAGAGCTTCACACAGATAATCAGGCTGAGGACCCACGCCCTCGAGAAGACGTTACCGATAAATGTGAAAAAGACAAGTGCAAGCCGGACCAGCGGGGTAAGAGGCGGCAGAACTGAATTCATCAAGTCCTGATATTAACATTCAGGGCGAAATCCAAAAGCATATAATCAACAATGGACGAACCGTGGGGTGCATGAATTCTTCTTGGTCATAGATATAAAATAACTTATCTCGCTCCTGGAGCTGAATACGCATGATGTAGCTGACGGATGCGCGATGCGTTCATGTCAACATCACGACGGGACAATAATAGCGCGCATACACTCACCGAGACGGGGCTGCCTTGAAAGGGCTAATTCGAACATGGAAGTGCTGAGTTACCTCGGCGACAAGAACATGGCGTTTCCTATCATAACCTAGACGCGCATATAGTCAGCTTTGAACGACAAAAAAGGATTATTGGTCAAACTAACACACTGAATCCACATTACTAGTAGTGTCTGGGCTAATGATGCGGTACCACTCGTACATAGCCAATATTTTCTGCCTTGAGTTTGTTTCATGCTCTACGACCCTGAAAGGGTGGTGCAAAGAAGCGTCGTGCATGTAGAATTTGTTCACAGCTGCACGCAAATCAGCAGGGCTACTGGAGGTTGTGAGAGCTGTCAGCACGTCTGGAAGATCGCGTTGTGGGTTGTCCATTGTATAGAAGAAGGTTTGTACTATTGAACCAAGTTGACGTTGAGCGCAGAGGTGAGTAGACCCTATTTGGCATCGCCTTGTATGACATCTCTAGATCGCGCTTTTACGTAAGCTCTCTTCGCCGTCCTTAGCTACTGGACTAATGGGTCAGCTCTTCGGATCTTTGCAAAAATCAAAGTATACGGCATTGCTTCCCCCCGAACTTTGGCACCATTGCTGGAGTTTTCTGGTAGTCCAAGATCTCCTTGCTGTCTCATCCACTTGTTGGTCATTTCGTTTTATCTGCAAAGACTTAGTGTTCAAACACATCACCACTACTATCCCGTATAAGCGCACCGTCCGGCACATATTCCAGCCTCGACATGAAGATACTGCACGCATCAGACGAGCACGCCGACTTCTTCTTCGTCTGCACGCACTTCAAAGTGACAGTGATGCTTGTCAGGTACTCCGGCTAGTGGAGACATGGAGCATCAAGACCTTTGGTTTGCCTGCTCCATTATACGAAAGCGAGATCATGCAATACGGCAAAGCCACCTTCCCCTTCGTACAACCATCCATTTCAATTTTCCTCATTTTACCATCGTGCAGAAACCTTCGTGTGCTGAGCATTTCGGATATTCACATGGAGGAAGAGCGCTGGTCTGCGCTCGTGAAAATCTCTCGGCTGGAATGCCTCAACATGGAGCGATGCAATCTATCATCCACTGACAAGTCCATGAAGCTCAAAGTCGTATCAATCACCTATGAAGCACATCTCGATCCACCACCCGTTCCACCTCCAACTACACAGCTTATTTCCTCGCTCTTCAACATTCAACATCTAGAGAGGCTCACACTACTCGACCTCACCTTCTCGAGTTCATTTCTCCTTGGACTCGTTCAGTTGGGGCAATTTGAGAACCTGAAACACCTTTCTGTAGCAGTCCCGGAAACCCACATGGACACGCTGTTCGCCTTCTTGAGTGCGACACCTTCACTCACATCGCTCACTATTTCGAACTTCTCGACCATGGCCAAACCTAGCAAGCCCTTTTTACAATCTGTCATTCCTAACCTCGTGGCCTACGATGGTTTTCCGACTCTTATCCCAATTTTACTTACTGGGCGGCCCGTCAATACTGTTTGTTTGAGGATGAATCACAGGACCGATCCTCAAGCCAGTCTTGGCAATCCGTTTGGCGTCTATGATAACAATGTTATCTGCAAAGCATTGGATGACTGTTCTGCGTCCGCTCGCGTGGTACATGATCTTATGCTCTCCCCCTTTCATCCTACCCCCGACAGCATGCAGGACATCGTGCGCATCCACCCTAATCTTCGCCACCTGCGGCTTGATATCCTGCGCACACCAAATATCAATATGAGCGTTGACGTGGTGAGTTTACGCCCTCTGCCTGAAATCTTTTCCGGCTGCTTATGACGAATAGGATGAACCCATGTCACTTATCATGGACATGCTTGCTGATACCATGGCAGTGCGAGATAGTGATAACTTCTCACGCCATCCTTTGTTCTTGATATCTGTGAGAGGTGTTGAACATCGACGAACTAAGCACAATTCTGATGAAAGTTTTCGAATCAGGGTTTCTTAAATTGGATCGCCAACGGTCATCTCCCACTCCCAGCAAAGCTCGAGACACTGCATCTTCATTATTACCAAAGATCAGTGACAGTTTGCGGCGATGTCACAAGGCAACGACTCCTCGTGCCAAAGATCTCCGCCGCTTACCCTGCACTGCGTGAAATTGAGATGGGCACGACGCGCTGGTGGAGAGAGGGCGATTGTTGGACCCACGAGGTACTCAGGTATAGGGTTATAGGCCATATTTAGTTGAGAACTACGAGATAGAAGCACGATAAAGAAGCACGGATAAATATATTTACTCTTCTCCGGGTGAATGAAGTTTAATCAAAAAATGATTCGACTTCCGAGTCATTCGGAAGTGATCATCACGCATCATCGGGCGCAAAAACGTTCTTTTGTCGATAAAATTAGAGTTCGGGGAACAATGCAAAACCCGATAATTATCTCCTTTCACGTGCTTCACAGCCTCGCGGAGTAGTACAGCCACACACGATGACTTGTACTTGGCTCACACAGCAACTTCAGAAGCGCAGCGGCGCTACCCACCATCTGCTTATAACTAACCGCTTTTTGATGCTTTAGCTCTCTTCCCACACAACCACTAACACATATTTTGAACCATGAGCAACCCTCCACGAGGCAGAGGCGGTAATCGCGGTGGTCCTCCCGGTGGCTCTCGAGGGGGTGGTGGCGGGTTTGGTGGAGGAAGAGGCTCTGGTACGAGGGGCGGGTATGGCGGTGGTCCCAGAGGAGGAGGCCCAGGAGAATTGATCTTCCGGGGCCCTACGTCTGTAGACCAACGTCTGGCAACCCTTGGATCAATTGGTCTCTTCCTTTAAGAAACTTGCCTTCAACCCCAAACGCCCCCACCGGCCTGGCTACGGCACTCTCGGCCGCCAAATCACATTACGAGCCAATTTCTTTCCCATTAAGCTTCCAACAGGACCTATTTACGACTACCACGTCGAGATTACGCCGTCCACAGACATTAAGCGTATTCGTGCGCGTCTTTTTCAGCTCCTAGAACAAAGCAATCAACAAGGCTGGAGAGAGTTTGTGCCGTTTACCGCTCATGACAGCAGCGAGAGACTTGTTTCTTTCAAGAAGCTGCCTCAGCCCCTTGACGTGCATGTCCAGTATTACGAGGAAGGAGAAGCTGGTCCCAACGCCAAGTCAAAGATGTATACTTTCGGAATTACCCTCACAGGCAACATGGATGTTGCACAGCTCACAAAGTAAGTTACGGAAAGCTACCTCATTCGTTCGCATATTAATTCATTTTCGCCAGGTATCTCAGCGGCGACATTGCGTCACGGGACTACGACGCCCAACCGCTAATAGCTGCTATAAATCTCGTGCTTCAAACGCACGCATCACGTACCGGCGTTCGTGTGGGCAAGAATCGCTATTTCTTCCCTCGCAAGAGCGCTTTGAGCTAGCGCTTGGCGTGGAGGCCTGGAAAGGCTTCTTCACGTCCGCCAGACCCGTGTATAAGGAACTCATGGTGAACGTCGGTGTCTGTATGACCGCTTTCTACAAGCCAGGCAACCTTGCCGACGCCATCATTGAGTTCAACCGGTCATCCAATGGCGCTATGCTTCAACGGTTTACGCAGAAGCTCAAGGTGACCACGAGTCATCTAGGGTACAAACAAAAGAAACCGATTAAGAAGATCATGCCTACGACTGCTAGGCAGACAACTTTTAACTGCGAAGAGTACAATGGCAAGATATCTGTCGAAGATTATTTCAAGAGAAGTTCGTTTCCTTGATCCTGTGCTTCATTCAATCGCTAATTGTTCAGCAGAATACCCCCGCATCAAGCTGAAGCACGCACACGATGTTCCAGTCGTTGACATCTCAGGCCCAAATTCGAAATTCTCGATATACGTACCAGCCGAACTATGTGAAATAGAGCCTGGGCAACCGTTCAGAGGTCGTCTCAACGAGAAAGAAACTTCAAACATGATTCGGTTCGCCTGCAACCCGCCCAAAGTCAACGCAGATGCCATCATTGACCGTGGCCTTCCTACTCTTGGGTTTACGCCTCAGACGCTGGGTAGCCCTATGAGCAACTTCGGCATGGCAGTGGACAACAACATGGCGGTCGTCCCTGCACGTGAACTTCCCCCGCCTCGCCTCAGCTACAAAGCAGGGAAGCCTCCCAACGTCAGCAACGGCAGTTGGAATATTCTTGACGTTAAATTCCACCTTGGCGGAACAATCAAGAGCTGGTGGGTGCTTGTCATCAAAGATGGACAAACCGTGTTCAACGGGCCCACCGATCCAGCTTTGGAAGGGATCTGGAAGGGCTTTGGTGAGAAATGCCGCAATAGCGGCATGTCACTGGGGTCATCGCCCTCTTTGTTGAATCAAGAACTCATCCCTCCCTCCCGTGACCCATCAAGGCAGCAGGCGCTGGATTTAATTCGTCAGAACATCAAACGACAAATTTCCCAGAAAGGAAAACCGACCTTCATCCTCGTCATCCTATCTCGCCGGGACAACTACATTTACCCAGGAATAAAGCGGATTTGTGACGTCGAGTTAGGCGTCCACACCCTCCATATGCTTACAGGATAAGGTTCTGCGGGACCGCAATAAACAAGATCAATACTTCTCGAATGTCGCTCTCAAATTGAACACAAAACTCGGGGGTATCAATCATATGCTGGATTCGGAGAGTATGAAATGGTGGACAAAGGCCAAGACGATGGTTGTGGGCATGGACGTCACGCACCCTGGCCCTGGTAGTATTGAGGGCACGCCATCAATTGCTGCTGTTGTCGCGAGCGCAGATAATTCTTTCGTCCAATTCCCAGCAAGTCTCAGATGCCAGGAGACTAAAAAAGAGGTCAGTGATATCACAATGTTATCGCGCTATCACTCACCTTTTGTTTGTAGATGATTACAGACCTGACTGCGATGATGATAGAGCGCCTTGTGTTCTACGAAAAGAAGAATCGAAGCCTGCCGGACCGAGTATTTGTTTATAGGGATGGTGTGTCTGAAGTGAGATTGGGCGTTTTCTCGATCTTGACGTCGCTTGCTAATTTTGAATGAACAGGGCCAATTCAATACTGTGCTGGACGAAGAGCTTCCGAAGATGTTGGAGGCATTTAAGAGAGTCCCCCAAACGAAGGTGTATCGCCCAGCGTTGACGATCATCATTTGTGGAAAACGCCACCATGCCAAGTTCTGGCCGACCGAGTCCCAGTTCGCCGATCGGAACGGTAACACTCGTCCAGGAACTGTCGTCGATCGAGGCGTTACTGCAGTGTACGGCCCTTCTATTTGATCATAAATCGGATTTTTCTAACATTTTGATCACTGTAGATTTGATTTTGACTTTTATCTTCAAGCTCATGCTGGCTTGCAAGGCCACGTGAAGGCCACTCACTATACAGTGGTGTATGACGAAAACCACCTTGGCGCAGATGAGGTGCAGCAGGGTACACACACTGCGAGTTACCTATACGCTCGTGCCACCAAGGCCGTGAGCCTCGTCCCAGCCGCATACTACGCCGACTTGGCTTGTGAAAGAGGGAGATGTTACTTAAACGACTTCTTGAGTGCCGATGACAAGGTATCGAGTTCTGTCGCAACAGGCAAAGGGAAGGGGAAAGGAAAGGCGGACAAGGAGGAAGAGAAGATGCGTGTGTTTATGGCGGCGAAGACAGCATGGGGAGAAGGTGTGCATCCTGACTTGCGGGGGAGCATGTTTTATATCTGATGTGGGCTACTGAGAGTCGTACCAGTACTGTAGGTAATCGTGTAGTGCGGATATGATATGTGAGGTGGATGTAATCACCGATACATGTTGATTACTGTTCGGATTCAAAGTGGACATCCCTGCTTCGATCGCTCTGGACTTGCTCTGGACCAAGGTAAATTTCAAAGGCCCTTTCTGTTGCCACAGGATATATCCGTTCGTCCAAAGAGGGTGAACCTTCTTACAGGGCAGTACTAACAAGTTGTAGAAATAACCTCCAAACGGGAGAGTTTGTTCCGTGCTTAATTTATGGGATGAGTCTGTCGCGGGGCATCCAGGTCTATTTAACACCTGTATTTTCCACTGTAAGCGGCGGCGGAGGGACCCAGAATTTGAATTTGCTAGAGCCAAAATCAAGGATGATCTAAATTTTGCTCCTGCTATACATGATCATATTCTTGATCGCACACAGCCGTAGATGAAGATAGTGTCGCCATAGCATCACAGCGAGCAGGGAACAAGAGCGCACTCACATCAACGTGGTTGAGCCTTCTCACTTAAGTTAGTACGTTCATTCATGCAAGCACTGCAGCTGATTATTCAAGACATTCCAAGGAACAATCACCTTATAGGTAGAAGCTAAGACACGAGAGTGACTAGTGAGTACTTGAGTGACTAGCTATGAGTCTCAACGGACGTGAAAAGTAACTCTGTTACCTGTACGAGGAAAAACATCCGAGTCGGAAAGAAATAACAAATTGAAAATGAAAACGTTCCTGGGCACGGAGCTAACTCCGAGGTACCAAGCCACCACGACTATGTAAGACCCCGGAACTCTCCAACGCCCCCCAACAGCGGCGACCAGACGACCAATGCAAGGCCGTCGATTCTGTAAGTACAAGTGTATACAGCATACAAGACAATAACATACCTCAGCGAGAGTGCGAGGGAAAGCATGTACAATTGCAAGTGAAGCTACTACACCATACGGGGTTCCGAATTCGAGTTGTTATGGAAGCCAAGGTGAATCATTGTACGAGGAAGCAAGAAGTCACAAGATAGGTATGATAATGACTAAGGTGCCGAATGCAAATACAAAGCTCATTCATAAAAGTCGGCGCGTGATGCTGTGCGTAAAAAAACCGTTTTTTGACTTCTACTAGTGCATGGAGTATTCGGCTGACGATATCGCAGCAGCAGGGAGCTTGCAGTTCACTACCGTGCGTCTCCTTTGTCGATATCGAGGACGAATCATAATTGACAAGTCGTACAGTATATATATAGTGCGTGCTGTCTGAACTTCGTGTTCTATGTCCTATCGTTGATAGAGCTCAGCGTCGATGGCTGCATTATGGGTAGGCTTGTTAGTCTGATCTATTTACGTCTGCTGTCAAACTCGGTTCTCTAGACCTATGATTATCTGTGTTCCATTCATGAAGAGGTAATACCCTCGTTTCATGATACACCTCCATTTTGACATGCTGTACAAAGTGGACATATTTGCTTCAATCGCACTGGGGCAGGATGAAAGGCATGTATATCGTTACACGATACCTCCCCTTTATCCTTCTCGCCACGGATCTGTATCGTGCGTTCCGCTCCAGCACACATCGCGCTGATCATCAACTAACACTCATTTTTCAGTGAGCTTTACCCCGGATGAAAACCCAGGTGTATGTGATGGGGTGGAGAGTTAATAAGAACGAACGGCTTACTGCATGACTTCGCCAGAAATGCCGGACGTTGGACAGTATTAGCTCAGGTACGTGCATGATACATCCATCTATGCACAGTTTCGTTGAGGGCAACCTACTTTATCTTACAGGGTTAGGCATGCTATTAGTCATTTGCTCCGAGTGTATTTTTCCTTCCTCCCTGAGATATGTATATTCCTGATATGATCCATCCAGGGTTTTTCATCCTTAGAACGTATGTGCTCTGGGACAACAATAGATTATTGCTCGTAGCCATGCTGTCCACCTTTTTTGTGAGTTCCCAACATTATACCCAAGCTATTCGTAGATGAATCAGTCAGTGTTTTATCGTAGCAGCCCTCAGCATTGCCTTCATTACTACCGTCCCTGCAGCACGTAAGCGCTCTCGCCTTCCCTCTAACGTTCCACCACCACTGAAACATTCTGTTCACCTTCACAGATACGACTAGCCCGATCCCAGGAATTACAGGGTGCTACCGAAGTTCGACCAATTACCAGCTTTTTATATCATTTCTTTTCCTTTTTGTATTTGAACTGGGTGAGTCACCGGCATATATATGTACAGACACACGCTGATAGTGTTCTCCCCAGGACTCATGATCCTCACGTTCATACGTGCCATACAGAACTGGCGAACAAACCCAAACCGTCTGTACGCTATCCTGGTGCACCATAATCTAGCCTATTATGCATGCGGTCTTCGTGAGCCAACACTTATATGCGCCGTTTTCACGTACTCATCTATGATCATTCTCTTTTCTAAAGTGTTCTCGGTAGCGAACATATTCACGTCGCTGCTCTTTCATGTGCGTCTATTTCCTAAATGCCTTTTATGATTGAGCCGTTGACGTTCCACCCCCCAGGACGCCTACCAGACCATTTTGGATGGGTATGTACCTCTACCAACCGCTGTGTATTCCAATTAATGATACACCACATACAGTTTCCAGTTCATGATCCTTGCAATCCTCGCCACGCGCATGCACCTCTATCTCTGGCAGGTGAACCGACAAACACACGGCTCTGGAGACTTTACGCATATTCCAATGTCCGACCTGTCATTTGTGACTTCTACGGCGTAATATCCTACTATCCTATGACTCATTCTGTGTTGTTCGTGGAGCGAGGCTTGATCTAGTTCGTTACGTGTTTACTTTATAGGATGTCTGTCTTGGCGTGGGAGGAGTATTTTGCCTATTTAACACCCGTAGTTTCCACTATGAGAGGCAGCGGGTTCAGGATCTATGATTTGAGTGTGTTAGAGCCAAACGCACAGTCTGACGGCAACAAACATCATGGTACAGGCTTGCCCTAGTCGCAGAAGTCAACTCGCAAGACACAGCCACATGGCATACGCCGGCAAAGGCGGTCAGGCCCGTCCACTCAGTACTCTCGCATACCTTTCTGCGAATTCATACACCACCGTCTATTTTATCAGTAGCCCATCGTGCGTTTTCCATCATTCTCATTTGTTCACCGGTTCACTGATGAGCATTAGGTTGTATGTCTAGAAGCACGTGGAACTTAGGGATGCTTGCAGTTGTAGAATATTGTCATGAGCGGTAGGGCGGGTCGGATGCCCTGACTCCCTATCCTAAGCCACAAGGTGTGAATAACTGATCTAATTAAGTGAGATAAAATTGTTGGTAGTGTAGATGTCGTCCTAATAACAAAGACCAAGAAAATTGGGAACTCGTAGTCCACTACTCCCGTGGACATCCCACCTGTTGAGTCCCTCCACCACCATATCTGCTCCATGAACGGCACCGAATAAGACACAGGATACGACATCACGCCGTGGGATTTGCAAATGAGATGTTGGACATCGAAACGACGGCGCCACTGGTGTCCTGTGGATGTTGATTCACCCGCCAGAGATGGTGGTGCATGCGCGTGGCGAGGATTGCAAGAATCAAGACCTGAAAACTATACGTGGGTGTACGTGTCGAGTATTGTTAGTAGGAACACGTAGCAGGATGTGTATGCACATACTCATACAACACGTTGTGGTAAGAGTACTGGGGCGCAGAACATCAATGGGCGGTCAAAAAGGGTATTTGATATATTCACGCACCTGGAAGATCGCTGTGAAGATATTTACTACCGACAACACTTCACGAAAGACAATGATCGTGGATGAGTACGGCGTGTACGAGTATTAACTCACAAAAATCACATGCATAATAGGATATGTTGTGGTTCACCAGGACAACGTGCATGCGGCTCGTGTTTGTCCGCCAGTCCTGTATGGCGCGTATGAGAGTGAGTATCAAGAGTCCTGGGGAGAACAGTGTCAGCGCGTGCTTGTACATATCTGCTCCTGGTTACCCACCCGATTGGAACACGGCAAGGATAAATGTTAGTATGAAATACAGGACACTGGTTGAACTCCGGTAGCACCCTGCGATGCCCGGGATCGGGCTGGTCACATCTGTGAAAGCAAAAAAAATGTTTTAGTGGTCGTGGAACGCCAGAGGGAAGGTAAAAGCAAGTACATTCTACAGGGATGCCGATGGCAAAGACAATGATGAAGGATGCTACGAGAAAAGACTGGCTGATGCATCTGCCACCAGCTCGGTATGGTGAGTAGATCAGGAGCTCACCAATAAGCTCGACAACATGGCTACAAGCAAGATTCTATTCTTGTCCCAGAGCACATATGTTCTGAGGATAAAAAAACCTGGATGAATCACATCAGAGATACACATCATACGGGTGAACGAGATATACATTCGGAGAACGTTGCTACTACAATGCCAAGACCTGTCCGAGGAAAGCAGTAGCCTTAAGCAAGGATGTCTGTACATGAATGTACCATGCACGGACCTGAATTAATATTTTGTAACATCCGGCATGTCTGGCGAAATCGTGCAGTAAGTCGTTCGTTCTTATGAATTCTCCACTGCAGTACATACACTTGAATTCTCATTCGGGGTGAGGCTCACTGAAAAACGAATGTTAATTGATCATCGGGGCGATTGCAATGGAACGCACTGCATAGATCCACGGCGAGAATGATAAATGGCAGGTATCGCGTAAAAACATACAAGCCTTTCATCTTGCTCCAGTGCGATTGAAGCAAAAATGTCCACTTTGCACAGCATATTGTGAGTATGAAAACCGAAGTATATCATGGAACGAGTGTATTACCTCCTCATGAAATGAACATGCATAATCATAGGTCTGGATAAGGGAGTTCGACAGCGGACATGGATAGATCAGAACGATCCTACCCATATTGTAGCTATTGACACTGAACTGTTGTCAGGACAAAGAAAATGGGTTTAAGACAGCACGCACTGAACATGTACTGATGGTACATGGCTTGTAAGTTATAATTCGCCTTCAATCAACAAGGAGACACACCGTAGCGAACTGCAAGCTCCGCGCTGCTGCGATATCGTTAGTGGAATATTCCATGTAGAGGTCAAGAATGTGTTTCACACACACACGATGCGCCTTCTTAGCTCTTATGATGAATGAGCTGTGAACCCATCAGGGTGGCCGTGTAAACACTGGAGACCAATGTCCATAGTATGATCTAAGTTTAAACTTGACATGCTGTGATCGTGATGGAGCGTTTTAGTCGTCATGCATCCATAATTAAGTAGATGTACCGGCCGGGAGCGACTTGATAAAAGATACAGCTGCACCTTCAATTCATATAATACACGCAGGACGAACCTAATTATATAACTTTATCAACTGAAACACAAAGATTGATTTAAAAACTCGCCGGATGCGCTCATTGTGCTGGCCTCCTTAAGCTCAAAGTTTGATGCATTATCGCCGCTTGAAAGGCGAAGACTATCATTAAAGAAACTTGCAATTAACTGCCCTCCAGTACCAATACTTACCTTGGTGGTCGTTCTTTCGAGGTTCCGTTTTGAAGTATACGTAATTAACCTATTCTGGATGAACGAATATATATCGCATGTGGCTATGAAAACTTCGGCCTTTACCTTACTTTGACCTTACTAGTCCAGATCTCGGCGGGAATGCCCACTTTCAACAACTGGGAATTTAGTACCTTGACCACCCACCGACCAACTTTAGTCTCCCGCAGCACAGATAGTACTTTGAGACTTCGTAGCGCTGCTTTATTCAGTGTTCATCTTTCACTCCCGCTATTAATCGCATTAGCCACCTGACACTGGTTCGGAAAGCCGGTGAAGTTGATTGTCGTTCATTTGAAGTTCTGAACATGACTTCAACTTTGATGTCGAACGTTCAAAACTCTCTGCTTACTGAGACGAAAAAAACTTTGGTTTGAACCTTTGGACACCATCAACGCCCTGCAGGGCTACCGGTGTTGATTACAACAATATTGCGCAGCTAACATCAAGGGACTTCTATATATATACGTTCCCGTCTGTCATGCAATCACTTGTCCCTACTGCCAGTATTGATCTAATTGGGAGTACTGCTACGTACGATGCAGCGTCCAAATTTGATATGTATGTACTCACTCAAACAAACATCATATCGTTCGACTCGCTGACGAGACGTATATAACAGACCAATGTACATGGAACTGCCTCGAAATTTGAACCGGACCAAGGTAAGTACTACTTGATGTGATGGTAACACGGCCATTGACATGCGGTGTCAGCAAAGCGCCTGCAAGCGCAGCATGCAAAACTGACCCAAATAGCAGGTCTCTTCATCACCTTCAACCCGTATCTCTCCCTCCCCTCGATTGCTGACTTTGCGCTGTCCAGTCTATCTGTACAACGTGACATCCTTGTCATGCCACACGAAGAAGCCGAGTCAAGTATGTCAACGAGACGAGGAGAAGCGCCATTGCACTCATCGATATATCGGACGAGTGCGAAAGACCCACCGCCATATGGTGCACAGCACCGCCAGGACGCACTTTGGGAAGGTGAGCAGCTACCTTGTGATACCCACCAGCTTACTCAATCAGAGGCAGGCGGGAATGAAGCGCTTCCTCCTATGTGGCAACAGTTTATGCCGTCGTCGGATGGTGCAATACAATATCATGATGATACACTCACGATGGTCTCGCGGAACCGACCTTTACCAGGAGTGCGACTAGGTGAGGGATGAAATTGCAACAAGGAGCGACGAACTCACCATTGAACATAGATAATCCCGGAGATCTTGCTGTTCCTGGATGGGAATGGCACATCTCACCACTCGGTCGGTCTTACTTCGTCGACCACAACGCTCGGACCACGTCATGGAAGAAACCAAAGCCAGACCGTCCGGCAGGAAGCTTGATGCCTGAGTGCGTCATCGAGGGTCACTCTGAATGCATATGGAGCCTTGCCTACTTGGGCACCAGTGGCAATATAATGAGTACATCTGATGATAGTTCTATTCGTCAGTGGAAAGGAGATGGAGAGCCAGTGGGTAAACCTTTGAATAGCGACGGGGGTGGGATAGTTTCGATGGTAGTATCCTCGGACGAAACAATGGCCATTTGTGGAAGTGCAGACGGCAGACTGCGGCTCTGGAATATAAAGGATGGCAGCATGGTTGGTGACCCTTGGGAGGGGCATGATGCACCAGTGAGGTGCCTTGATTGGTCTCGCAATTCCCTGGAGATAGCAAGTGGATCTGAAGACGGCACCATACGACGCTGGAACCCGGACACTGGTCGACAAATAGCACCACCCATAGAGACCAGCCACGGATGGGTTATGTCCGTCAAATACTCTCCACAAGGCAACGAATTCATGAGCGGCGGTGTGGACGGTCCGATCTGCATATGGTCAAAGGACGGCAAGCTGCTTGTCCAGATCAAGGGACATGAAAACTGGGTGTCGTCAGTTGTGTTGGTCCAAGGACGGCGCACACATCTTCTCCGGGTCGGGTGATCATACCATCCGAAAATGGCGAGCGATTGATGGACAAGAACTCGTCGTTCTTCGGGGTCATACTCACCCTGTTCAATCCCTCTGTCTTACTCCCAACGAAAGCTATATTGTTAGCGGATCAATTGACTGCTCCATTCGCATCTGGGATCTGAAGACCAATCAGGCAGTCGGAGATCCACTCTTGCAATTGCATGATGACAGAGTCGTCGCTGTTGCCATATCCTGTGATGGAAAATACATTGCCAGCGCTGGAGTAGACAAGCAAATTTATATATGGAACCTGGAGGCGGCGCTCAAAAACGTCATGGTACGTATGTGCTTTGTTGTCCAATTCCCCTTCCTAACGGTTTTGGCTATCTAGGGCGCACATGATGGGAATGTAAAGCTCAAGGCAAGTCTTCTCTGCTTCCCTTTTACACTATATCTCACTTTTTACTAGGGACGTCCAGTCCAACTGAGAGGTGTGCGCGCATCCAATCGTGAGCAACCCCACCTTTTCTCATAGTCTCGTCAGACCTTTGACCCCCATCTCGCAGTCTAATCAGCAGGACCAAAAAAACAGGACTGGCAAGATATGTCAGTGTACTTTCTTGTTCTTGAAGTTTCTCGCCTGACTCCAAGATACAGGCCAATGATTTCTTTGGCAACGAATCAGACCACGCATCTCGTTGTGTGGCTCCTGCCTGCAAGCCCATTGTACCCTTGTTCGTTGGCGTCGTTTGCTCACTCCCATACATTTCGGCACACGACCTGCAAATGGATCCAAACCAATCGAACGACAGTCCCGACAGCTGGAATTTCAACTTCAAGTTGTTTTCCGGAGGACATTCCATGCGCACCGTCGATATACCTCTTGCTCAAGATGAAGATGTGAGTGACTCGTCGTCCCTCCAATTTCGTTTCATTCAAGTACACTGCATAGATATGGCATCGTTCCTGAAACTGATGCGGAAGCGGCTGCAGCTATGCAACGTACGAACAGCAACCAGGCCAACGGTGCAACGCAATCAGGTCAACCAGCTGGGGCACAACCATCTCAAGCACAACCAACAGAAACATGCCAGTCAACCGGTGGGAGGAGAGAAGTTCCCCGTGCTTTTCAAGTTGGTCGTCATTCCATTTCGTGTCAAATTGTGTAGAAACTCTTTACTCGAACGTTTATATTCCCTTTCATACGCATCAAGCATTTTAGATATAACTCGTTCTGTCCCATGTACATGCGCAACGACGTTGATATATTTCTCTGAATTGGGCCTCGCCCCAACGGACAAAAAAACAAAGATTCCAAAATATTTCTCTGAATAAGGAGCGCGTGATTGAAGCAAGCATGAGGTTCTGCCAGTATCTGTAACCCCCGCGTAGAATATTCGAAAGGCACAGGATATCGAATACAAACAGGGTCAGAGTGTGCAAAAGGATACTAATACCATAGATTGCACCGGCGCTATTGAGCTTCGCTGGTGTATTGGGATATAATGGCGAAGAGCTGCAATTTTAAGAGAAAAGGCAACAGCAGCGAGCTCGGGCCTGTACGCATGGTTGGAGGCTGGCCGGGAACTAGCAGCATATGCTAGTGGACGGGCACGAACTGACAATGTTTGAGTCCGGCATTCGAAAGGCACACCTGCAGGTTGGTTTTACGGTCTCAACAATGCACATCGAACAGCTTCAAACTTTGCGTTTGCTGTCGTGGAGCGGTCTTAGTAGCGGTAACGAGAATGAAAGGAAATGTTTGCTTTATTGAAGCAGATAGTTTTCGGGTGGAAGCCCCGAAGGGGCAACCCGGCCTCGATGGCGGCCCCAACCTGTGCGAGAGAGAGCCGAGGAAATTCAGCAGGTCTAGGTACCAGCCACCCGGGCCCCAGGAAGAGGGATGTAGTACTAGTATGTAGTTAAAGTTGACTAACTTTAGGTACCAGTAGCAATGTAGGCTGCGAGGATAAGGGAGTGGTGGGTGGGTAAAAGAAAAGCAGAAGGCAGCAGGCCGGTTTGAGCCTGCTGGAGCGTGGTGCGAGCACTGCGTGGTGCGGAGACAAGAGAGGCTACGTGCTGCACTGTCGCTGCCGCAAAGTCCTAATTCTAACCCTACGCTCGTTCCTCGCTTCGGGATAGAATATCAAAATTTGAACCGGACCGAGGTAAGTACTTGATCCGATGGTGACACAGCCATTGACATGTGGTGTCCTGCAACCACAGCATGCAAAACTGACCCAAACAGCAGGTCTCTTCATTACCTTGAACCCGTATCTCTCCCTCCCCTCGATTACCAGTGTGCCTCTGTAGCCCGTTTGTACAGCCTAGTACCCTAGATCGATCAAGGTCATGCCACACGAAGAGCCCGAGTCGAGCACCGTGACATCAACGAGGGGGGGAGAAGCGCCATTGCACTCATCGATATATCGGACGAGCGCAAAATATTTACCACCATATGGTGCACAGCACCGCCGGGACGCACTTTGGGAAGGTGAGCAGCTGCCTTGTGATACCTACCAGCTTACTCAATTAGAATCAGGCGGGAATGAAGCGCTTCCTCCTATGTGGCAACAGTTTATGCCGTCGTCGGATGGTGCAATACAATATCAAGATAACACGCTCGCGATTACCTCGTGGAACCGACCTCTACCAGGAGTGCGACTAAGTGAGGCATGAACTTGCGACAAGTAGTGACAAACTCACCATTGAACATAGATGATC